AGTCTTTAGGTATATTTTGTACCAGATTAAATTAGAAGACAAAAATTGCGCTTTCATAGTTGCTACAAAGGTAAATAATGGAGAGATTTGGTACAAAACAACAAATTATATATATATATATATTCTCATATATATATATAGCTAATAAAATTACCTGAGGAGTGTAATGCTTGTTTATTTTTTTGTGTATATCTTTGCAATCTATTTTATATATATTGACAAAAGAGACTGTGAAATATTTAGCCATGCAGAATATGTGACCAGACCAGAGCATGTGTAGGAAGACTTTGGTAATCATTAACTGTACCCTGAAATGATGGACTACAAGTTATAATGTGTGTTACCTACACTTCAATCAGTAATATTAGCAAATCTTCAAATGTTAGTCACATTGGTTTGTCTCCCTTGTACATTCTTTATTCATGATATTACAGTGCTGTAACTGGGTGGTCCTTTTTAAACAAAACATTATTTGCAAAACAGAGGGTATTATTTGTTTTTAAAGCTTTTGTAAATAAAGGCTTCAAAATGTTTTCTTATAAATGTTGATGACTGGTGATTTTGTTTTGGAAATACTCATTTGGGGGATATTATTCATTTTTATTTGGGCAACTCAACAGAATTCAGTAACTTCCTTCATTAACCCTAGATGATTATTAGTCCATTAATTGAAAAATCAATGAGTTTTCTGCATTTCAAGTATTGGCTTATTCTTGTTCTTTATGAGTACCTCAACTAGCTAAGTAAGGATTTCTATTTCTCCTTTCCAGGAATGCATTTATTCATAAGGATATACTTAAAAGGAAATACATCTGGTGTAACTGTGGCTCTTTAAAAAATCTAACACAATGTAGCAAGTTTCTGACTGGCTGCTTTTCATTTTGTCTTTGCTAAAAAGGAAGTGAAACTTCTTTTCGCTTGTGATTTCAGTGTTAGTTTTTATTGAGAAAACTAACATTTAAATTGTGTTCAACTAATAGTTACCTATTCTTTGAGAAATCAATGTGAAACCTTTTTAGTAGCCACATCGTTGCTCAATCTCATAACTTGTATCAGTTCTGGCTCTGTCCCTAAAAAGTATAGATAATCCCTAACTTAACTATCTTTCAACTTAATGATTTTTCAACTTTACAGTGGGTGTATTGTAACCCCATCAAAAGTTTAGGAGCTCCTTAGGACCTATGATGGGGTTACAGTTTCTACTGAATGTGTATTGCTTTTGCACCATTGCAAAGTCAAAGTTTGTAAGTTGAACCATTGTAAATTGGGGGACTGTATGCTGTTGTCTGCATTAAATGAATGTTAGTATTTTTTCAGATGTAACCTCATTGTAGGTTGAGTACCTGTATAGTATTTTATAACTTCTGTAGAGGAACATTTTGACTTTTACTGGGTCTAAGCTTTACTTTATTTTGTTCCAGACAGTCTGAATGTTTGTAGAGTCTAGGTTTTAGATGTAAGATATTTGGATGATAATTTTTTTAGTGTTCCTGAACCATTAATTACAGACTCATACAGTCTGTTAAGTCTACTAGAGCAAGGGTTGTCAAACTATGGCCCGCAGCCAGAATCAGCTTGCTGCCTGTTTTTGTGTGGCCCATGAACTGAAAATGGCTTTTAGTTTTAAATGGTTGGGAAAAATATTCAAAAGATTATTTCCTGACATCAGACAATTACATGAAATTCAATTTTTAGTGTCTATAAGTTTTTATGGGAATGCAGCCACAATCATTTACATATTATCTATGGATACTTTTGCTATAATGGAAAAGTTCAGTAGCTGCTACAGAACCTGTTTAAGTCTGTCTTGTTTCACATTGCTGCTTGGCAAGCTACAGAATCATGGTGATGCAGATATAACCTGAAAGCATTTAGAATGCCCTGTGTATTGCTAGATTTGTTACTTTTTCTGCTACCAGTTCATGCCCTGTATCTCAGAACAAGAAAAGTACACTTTGATATGTTTTCAAGGCACACTAGAATATGGACTATTTTATTATATGGTGGTATGTTACGTTTATAATGCAATGACACTGTAACTGGTAAAAGAAGATTGACAATATCAGACTAACATCACAATATTCCCAACTCGTGGAAAACAACAGTCAGAAGAATTAGAAAATTTAAATGAAACATCATAGAATTTCACAACATAAAAATGAGGCTGCAACCAAAATGTTTACAAGTGGCCAATTTGTTAGCCAAGCAAAGAAAACCATTTACTAATGCTGAATTATATCATGCTTGAAGACTGACCAACCCAAAGAAATGTGTCCAGAGAAAATTAAGATATCAGCCTTTTGATAACAGTCGTTTGAAGAATGAGGATTTTGGACACAACATCAAATGATACCATTAATTCTTTGCCTCTTACTAGTCAGTACTGCCTAGCTTTATTTTATGAGAAACCATTGCTGGATTTGAAGTGACTGAAGAATTTATGGAAATACAAGTGCATCAGCAGGTAGTTTGCAGGAAATACTGGTGTTATTGAACTGGTCAACAGTGAACTTCATTTGCTCTTGTGGACCTAACCATCTTCAGTTCCATAAATTTTTTGTGAGAAACAGAAACTGAATATCCTGATTTGATTTGCCACACAGGCATTCAGTGGCTTAGCAGTGCTAAAGATTTATTTTTATTTTTTGGGTTCTTGGCTGACATTGAAATTTTTCTGAGTGAGAAGAACCATCCTCAAACACTGTTTTTTAACACTGAGTAGCTTTGGAAATTAGCTTTTGCCACAGACTTCAAAATGTTTCTTAATGGATTTGACCTGAAATTACAAGGTAAAACAATATAATATGGTAAATTCATTTCAATAAAAACTAAAATTTAAATAACAAGATTGTCAAGCTGCTTTATATAGTTTCTGTGCTATCAGAAGTCAAAACAGTGCTCTATTGCCAAATCCATTTTTAGTGGATATATTTTCCTGTAGCAGTTTTTTGGACCTTGATGCAGTGCAAAGAAAATTTTTAAATTTTAAAAGCATTTAATTGCAGTTGAAGACTTTCCTCTTAATCTTCTGTTGGAAATGAATCATCTTGAATGAATGACATGCTAAAGGGCAAATACCAAAAAGATGAATCCTACAAATGCCTTACAAGTGATGAATATGCTTAAGTAAAATCACATGCTCATGGGTGGATGTGTCAGTATTTAGTATCTCGACCTATTTGTGTGAAAAGACACTTCCAAAGATGAAATACGTGAAATCTCATTACACATCGGCATTAACAGATTAACATTTTCAATTTATTCCGATGAGGGAATACCAACTTTTAGCCCAAGTTGAACAAAGTGTTACCTCCCCTCCCCTGCCAAAAAATCCCATTATTCCCATTAGTAGACCTCTATTACTAAAAAAAAAAAAAAAAAAAAACTGTACTCGATATTTTGAGTTTTCAATTTTTAGAATAAAAATTTTGTAAAAAGTTTCCTTGTTTGAGTACCTTAGTAATGTCCTTCATTTTATCTTAGCTTGCAAAGCCTCTAATATTTGCTACCTGGCCTTTTTAAAAAAAATAAAAATTAAAAAAAAAAGGCTTGTCCACCTCTCTACTAGAAGAAACTCAAGGGTCTGTATCTGTCCTGTTTGCTGTTTCATCGACATTGCCAAATGCAGTGGCTCCTCTGGGTAGACAACCCGAGGTGGAATCAAATTATGAATGCATGTTATCTCATGTCTATAAAATAAATGTGTCAGAATTTATAAATAAAGGGATAGGAAACATACTGATTGTGTGTCAGTGCTTTGTAGTGAAGGCCAGTTCACACATGCCATTTGCTACGTTGGTGTAATTTATATGAGAGCTTCATTTATAACAATGTCACCTGTCATTTATTTTTCTGTTAAGACATTATAGAAATGTAGGACTGTACACATCCAAGTCCTGCAGAATTTTCATTTCAGGTTTTCAAAGTTAAAAAAAAAGTCACCATAGAGTGAAAATTCCAAAAAACAAGATTCATTTACATTATCACTAGATAACTTCCATTTGTTCTAACTTGTATTATATGGTTTTCTATAGCATTAGTCAATTTAACATTTAGTATAAAAGCAATTGAACAATTTCTCTTTAGAAGTCCATTTCATTGCTTTGTAGTCATAGTCTGTAGGTGAATGAACAAGCTACCCTTCTCCAAAATTACTCTTCATTTTCTTTTTAAAGATAAACTGGTCAATACTCTCCTTCCTGGTATGGAGGAATTTTTTGTACATGAGAAGCATTCATGAATATAATCTGCCCTCTTGCTTTATTGTCAAAGGAGGGGAAATTCACTGCTTTCACACTCTTCTTTTTTGGCTCTTTCTCCCAGAAGATAAGAATCTTTATTTGGTACCATACCAAGAAATTGGAGTTCCTTTAGCTTCAGACAATATCATCATGGCTTCCAAATTGTTAGGAAATACAAGTTTGCAAGACTCCAAGGGGACTTAATATTTTATATCTTACTAGTCATGTCATAGGTTTTAAGTGTTTTTGACGGGGAACTGTTTCACTCATGCCATATACCTGTTTTGTTTTTCTAAAAAACTAATACTGTAAGTTGTTAGCAGGTATCTTGTATCACTGCAAAACCCATGTATAATAACAACTTGTTCTTGAGCTATATGTGTGTACATAGGCTTTCCTTCCATTCATTGTAGCCATTCTGGGCCTGTCCTCTACTTCTTGCCTAAGTATATGTTTTTAAAATAACTTTAGCACATTTGCATGCTACTCCAAGATTACTTTATAATTAAGGTCGCTTTTTAAAGTACTCAGCTTTCACACAGTAAGTGTTTGATTAGTTCATTTAAGATGTTTTTAATAGTACACTTTAGGGAGCCATACATACTGACAGAAAAAAGACACGAAATCTGAACTGACAAAATAGCCTTGCTCTCATAACTGAGTAAAATACAACAGGAGAACTGACACATTCTGTATGATCTTTAAATTCAGCATCAACAGAATTTTATGTTTGAAGTAATTACTTGAAGTATATTATGCTTTTTTTTTTTCAATTAAGCACCTTTATCCATCAAACAGAAGCTATTAAGTATTAATAATTTCAGGTAGGATTCAGCTCCTGGTACTGTTAAACCTTACCTGGAAGATGCAACATAAATCATAGGTTGTTTTCATAAACCATAAAGTAGTAGTATTTTTCCTGAGCAATAGGGAACTAGCCATAAACCAGGGCTTAAAATAACTTATAACAAGTTTCCCTTTGGTTTAATTGGTACTCAAACCACTCAGAAGATTAGTCTTAACACACATTTTCCCCCAAATGTAAACAATACAGAAATACTGAATGCTGGCTATGAACAAGAACATCAAAAAGATCTATTTTTGAACATTTTTCACCAGTTTGTTTTTTGCCGTCACTTTCCTGCAACAAGAAAGGTCTGCAAATGATTAAGTGTCTTCTATTGGCATTGCCCAGATTATTGTATTTGAACTTTTTGCTGGTATAGGAACAATTCTCAGAGGGTGTTGGTGATTGAGCTATTAGATACCTGGACTGCATCATCGTAGTTGTTTGCTCACATTTCAAGGGGACTATTTGAGGAAGGAAAAAGAAATGGGTGCCCTGTTTCAGAGTCTCCTGCAACACTGAACATTATTCTAGGAGATACTTCATGTTCATAGTTCTTGATTCACAGGAGTTTCTTTGAAACAAGCCTACTTGATTTCATCCTTTTGGTGATGTCCACTGTTTACAACCCAGGGCACTACCATAATAAAAAAAAATAAATCTTATGGAAAAGAGAAAAGGAAAATGCATGGTTTGCAACATTATAAAGTATAATACAATTTCCTGTGTTCTGTAACACAGTAAGATCCTTGGATAATAAATTCCAGAGGAAATCTGGGGGGGAACAGATTGCTCAGTTGTAAAATCTAGGTTCATGTTGGCTTCTACTTAATGCTTTTCATGGCATTACAAGATCAAATTGCTAAAACTCACAATAAAAAGTAGAATCTAGCAATTTTTACCAAGACAAAGTGAGAAAATCCTAGTGGTATCTTTGTAAAAGAGTAACAAATACTTCAGGTGTGTAACATAGTCTCCTTCCACATGTAAGAGGAAATCGGTGCTGAACTGGCTAAGTATGTGGAAAAGAAGCATAAAACATTTGGGATTAAGCCGGGTGCTCTTCTGCTTAGGAAGAACACGTTTCTGCAGAAAGATACTAAACGTGTTATTTGTGAAAAATCCACTTGTTGAAATGTCACTTTGGTCAAAATATTTGCAGATCAGAATCTGTAGTCTGACTGTGTGGGTGGGATGGTTGTGCTGGAGTATACCTTCATCATGATTTACAATGTAAACTGCTTTGCATTTACCATTTTCTGAGGTTTGTATCTATGTTTGATCAAAGGTATCAGAACCATCACTTTTACAAACAAGTATCTGACAATATAAGTATATACTAAAGGATACAGTTCAGAATCAGCCGAGCAAGTTTACATGTATTTCAAAATAGGGAAAATCTGCTAGTTTATAACATAATGGAGTAACACGTTTTTCATGTTTTCCTGAAGCATGAATCACGATTACGTGCCTAATTTTTTATAAATATGATTTATATCTTTGATTTCCCTAGTTTTTTTGGTCAACGTATGCCATATTTCCAATAGTTGTCTATTGATTACAGTGTACTTGAGTTTTATAGTCTAATTGTCCTCAGAATCACTGAACTACTACGAAGTAAACACCTTATCTTCTCACTACCCCTCCCCCAAAGACCTATGTTATGACCACACTGAAGACATGAATTTTGCCATTAGTAGCTCTAATAAACTATTAGGAAAATGTATGCTTAAAATAATTTATATTGTCAGTGCAAAGGCAATTTCTTATAGACAGGTAATGAAGGTGATCAACCACTTTATTAGGGTATATTAGGAGTGAATTCATGGATATGAACTTCCTTGAATGCATCATGATTGTATTCAGATGCAACAGTTAATATATCTTTGAAATAACAATCCTCTTCCTTACATAATAGCAGATAACTAATGTATATGAAGCATTGGTACATTATTTTTAATGCAAAATTTCTTAAATCTTGATTCCTATATAGTAAAATCTATAAAAACAAGAAAAATAAAAATTATCAGTTTAATGGACAATAAGGACAGTTGAAGTATGTGTCTTCAAGTTCGAGTTAAGCCATTAAATTTTTTAAAGCAAATACTTAAAGGTAAATTTTATATAAATATGTACAAAATGTAGATCTATTTATTTAGCACTTTGTTCTCTCAGATAAATTTATATTGCATATCTAATAAGATATGCAAGCATCTCCAAAAATTATAACTCCTATAATTCAAAACAAAACAAAACAACCCTTTAAAGGTTATTCACTGTATGAAAACAGAAAGGGAACAATTACAACAATGAAATTGTTTTAACTTTTTCAAATCTGATTCTAATGTGCATTGACATATATTTAATTGTAGAAAAGACTGGGGGAAAGGGGCGTAACAGTACTCTAGCAGAGTAAAGGATAAAAATCCCTCTTTTTCCCCTAGCTTCCAGTTTGACAAGAGGGAATACTTAATCGAATCCTGTCCACCAAAACAGCTAATAGTACTGTGCTTTGAAAAAAAAACCTGACTTCATATAATTCTTAATACATCCTGTGCTGCTGTTGGTTTTAAGACTTCTAGCAGTAGCTATAGGTTCCAGTCTGGCACTTCAGGTATTTTTTTAAACGACCAAAACGTGCTCTAAAATGAAAGTTAAAATGTTATCATATTTTCTGAGATTTCTTGAAGCAGATTGTCAGATGAAACTCGTTAGCTTAAAACAAATCTGTAAAAGACTGCAGATTTTTCTACTGTTCAAAGAATTGTACTCTGACTATAAAATGGACTTGGCTGACATTGTTTCCTCCATAAGCACAATTAATATAAAACTATACTTTTAGGAAGGATAAGTAATTGCAATGATCCTTTATTCCATTATCCTCTGGCCTTCTAGTTTATTTTGTGTTGAATGTTTGGTTTAACAAAGATTTTGAAAAGTTTATCACCATTTTCTCTTGGATTAAATACCAATTACTTAGTTGGTCCAGTTTTAAAAGGTAATCTGCTTTAAATTCTCAAAATCAGTACCAAAAAAACATACAGAGTATTATTCTAATTGTTAACATTTACATAAATTATACTGGACTCAAGAAAACTTTTTAAAAATAGTGCATACAAGGCACAAGAGCTTATTAATATTGACTGAAGCTGAACATTCTGGCATCAACAAACACACCATTTTAGTTTATCTCAAACTAAATTTCCAAACAGCATCCATTTTAGTTCACGTTGAACTAACTTTCCAAAAGTTGTATGATTTTTATTTGATGATTTGCATAATTTAATCATAATAGGTGTTTAAGGAAAAATATAGTTTACCTGTCATAATTTTGTTGAGATGAGAAACAAATAATACAGATATAACTGGAGGGTAAATCTATTGACCTATTAGGAATTCTTAAGAGAAATTCAATATTTTTACTATATTCAACAGGAGAAATAATCTAAAAAGAGATTTTTAAAAAGCCAAACTGACAAAAGAATGTCATAAAACAATCTTCATAATTGCTATTGTAAATTTCCCAATTTAAGAAGATTAGAAGAGATGAAAATATATTTCTGATGTAATAGAAATGTACTGTATTCTGACAAAAGTATTCCAGCCAACTGCTTTAAGAGGGAGCTCAAGCTTCAATGTCCACACATTTTCCAGCAGAAAACGAGGGCTGGATTTAACTGAGGCAAAAATGGCTGAAGATCTTCAACTGCAGGCCACCTGGACTCTGTAATGAATTTTCATAATTATCACAGTTCACTCAGTCTGAGGCTGGATTCACACCAGAGGAACAAAAAGAAGTATGCTTTGCCACTTCCACCTTCTTAAAGGTAAGTTTTATGAATAACGCTTATCATTATGTGACTTGAAATCTCTGAAATCTTAATATCTTAATAGTCTCCATTTTCAGATTCAGAAGATCAGATCATTAATGGACTTTCTATGTCATAAACTGTGCTACCCATGTATTTGGGTAAAAACTGGTCCTTGAATTTATTCCAAGTTTTTCGGAGAAGATGTTTTCCCTGTTGATTAATAAACCAGAACTACTTTTAATATTTAATAGGAATTTGTATTAGTTGTAACAATGTGTGTATTGGGTCCAAAACATGTTATATTTTAAGCAATGGCTTGGAGATAACTGATCAATTCATATTCTGCATTTCCAGCCAAAGGGATATAGGCATAACTGACCAGTGGCACCTTCCTGTGGGAAGCCTCTTCCATCATCTACAGCATTGATACCTTGAAATGAAACAGAAAACATGAAACTACTGTGTTAACCATAAACATGCAAAATGAACCAACTCATTTCATAATCTGTTTCATAGCATCCCTCATTCAAAACTGTTTACTATGCTAGCAGGCTCAGTAGATGTGTTCTTGAATACAGACCTCTACATCAATACTGCTCAAACTTTAATATGCATATACAAGAGAGGATTCTATTAAAATGCAAAAAAAAAAAAAAAAATGCAGACTCTGATTCAGTAGGTCTAGGGTAAGGCCTAAGATTCTGCATTTCTATCAGTCTTCCAGGGCATGACAATGTTGCTGGTTTGGGGCTACAATGTGAGTGGCAGGGTTCTATGTTGTTAGCTGTGCATTCATCTGAGGCTGAATGGAGTTGGGGAGTGGCAACTGAGTCGGGAAGGACATCTAGCGAAATGATTTTGAAATTTCATGTGCATAGAAGCACAACTTTTTGTTTTGTTGTTTTTTGAGACGGGGCCTCACTCTGTCGCCCCGGCTGGAGTGCAGTGATGTGATTTTGATCTCAGCTTACTGCAAATTCCACCTCCCTGGCTCAAGCCATCCTCTCATCCTCCCACCTCAGCCTCTGGAGTGGCTGGGACCACAGGCACATGCCACCACACCCAGCTAATTTTTTTTTCTTTTTGTATTTTTGGTAGAGATGGGATTTCACCATGTTGCTCAGGCTGGTCTTGAACTCCTTAGCTCAAGCAATCTGCTTGCCTTGGCCTCCCAAAGTGCTGAAATTACAAGTGTGAGCCACCACGCCCGGCCAGCATTTTTTTATTTATACCATATGATAGGAAAGGTTGGTAAGCTAAATTTAATTTACTTTTCAGTACTAACTATGGGTTTAGGCACATTATAACCATCTGGAAACTGCTGAACAAACAAATATTTTATAAAAAGGTGGTATCATTTACTAATGTAGTTCAAAAATAGGAGAGAAAATATGAAGTTTTTTTGTTTGTTTTTTTGTTTGTTTGTTTGTTTTTTAAGAGTCTTGCTCTGTCACCCAGGCTCCCAGGCTGGAGTGCAATGGCGTGATCTCGGCTCACTGCAGCCTCCGCCTGCCGGGTTCAGTTGATTCTCCTGCCTCAGCCTCCTGAGTAGCGGGGATTACAGGCATGCCACACCACACCCGGCTAATTTTTGTATTTTTAGTAGAGACGGGGTTTCACCAAGTTGGTCAGGCTGGTCTTGAGCTCCTGACCTTGTGATCCACCCGTCTCAGCTTCCCAAAGTACTGGGATTACCAGGCATGAGCCACTGCGCCCAGCCAATATGAAGATATTTAATATAGGTTAGGCACATCAATATCAGACTATTATTTGACATAAATACAATTTGAATGAATTGCCAATCTGAGATGCAACGCAGGAAAAAAATTATTTTTAAAACTCCAGTGTCTATTAGCTACTTTAGGGAAAATTAAGAAAACAAAACATGTTACTGCAACTGGTTATATCAATAGAATAGAAACATTACATCAGAAAATCAGGGGTGCATTTTTAGATCTATAGCACTGATTCATGCTGCCATTTTGTGATTATGACTGCTAATGTCATATTTGAATTAATAAAATCAAGTTTCTGTCAGATTTTTAATTTCAATGTTTTTATTTTGTCACTTATCCGTCAAATGTTGAGAACCTACTATGTGTCTGGCATTGTGCAAGGTGTTGGAGATAAACACAATGCTGGTATTGTGTCAAAATACTGGGAACTCTCGATGGCTTTTATATATTACCATGTAACTATGTAAAACGCTTAACACACAGAAAAATTCCTAATAGCACTGACCTTAAAAACAACAGTTATTGTAACTGATGTCTTCAAAATATTGAAAAAAATCCTGTGAAATTCTGTTTTACAGAACTATGTTCTGTTTAATATGTTATTTGTGGTATTGGCTAGTAACTCATATTTGCTATAGTTCCATTCTAAAATTATTTTCAGAAATATAATAATGTGTCTTTGCCATTTAATCAAATTCAGATTAAATTTACTATTTTAGCAGTTATGGTCAGTCTGACTTATTGTAGCATCAGATATTCAGAGCTGATTCTGGTCTTCCCAAAATCAGATACTAGTCAGCTGGCAAATTGCCAGATCAGCATTTTGCTATTACAATACATGGCTAATTTATCAAAACCAGAGCAAATAAAAACAGATATCCATGAACTTTGATGCAAATCATTTTGTTTTACAAATGAATCTCTTGCTTTTCATAGACTTTAGGATTCTAGATTGCAGTTTTGTAAATAGAGAGTTATCTTGCTACCTTTAATATTCAGCTCTGTAAATTGTTTATTATATAGTTGTTTGTTCCAAAGGGGTTCCTTGCTGTAGCTTTTTATTGACTGCAGGCTTACAAACAGATCATATGTTAAAGAAACTGATTTGGAACTGCTGGGTTTTTTTAAAAAAAAATAAGGTTTAAAGAAAATGATTTGGAACACCTATCATTTTAAGGTTAACATATGCTATAAGGCCCTACTATGACCCAAAAATGGGAATGACAGTGTGTTAATGGAGTACTTTAATGAGATATAATTATATTGCACTTAGACTCAGTGAGAGTTTCCTAATGGATGGTCAAGGATATGACCACTGCATATATTCTGAAAAATGAAGAAAAATTAAAAATAATTACTCTAATTTCTAATTTCACTTTATAAGTGACAAGATAATTTTTACGTATAGTTCAGGATTTTAGGATTGATCCCTGCCACTTAATGCATTACTATAAAATGACTTTTGTTCATCAACTTATTTCTATAATTCATCAAGTTAACCTAAACACCAGCTAATACTGAAGCTAGGTCTGTGCTCAGAAGCCTCAGCATGGCTAATGCAATCTCACAAGTCAGGTAAAAGATCTTCTAAATAAGTCACTCATAAATTAATAAAAATGTTTATGGAAACTATTTACCCTAAAAAAATTAGAAGACTGTTAAAAATACAAAATAAAGGGAAAATTATCGTACTTTTGTAAAGTATGAATTTATCTTGCTTGAAGAGTTAAGTCTCATTCTCCATGGTTAACGCAGGATTGCTCATACCTTAATGAAAGAACATAAGTTAGCATTTTCGGTTGCTTTTGAACAAATAAGCAAAAACTTGTTATTCATCTATGAATTATGAATCCCTTGGTAGACTTCCAAAGGTGCCTTGTACACAATAAGGGTATACATAAGATGGTTATATAGAAACACACACACCCCTTACACAGTGTCAGTTACAACCACTATCTCTCTCTACCGCACACACAAAACACTAAAAACAAATATACATCTGAGGAAGTAGAGGAACATAATAATGAAAGATATATTGATCCACACTGCTCACATCAGCTTACGTCGACGTTTCCAAATTCTTCCTCTACCAACCTCATTCTAGTCAAACCAATCTTTGAGCGCTTTCTCACCTCATTTTTCTTGTTTCTTTTCCTTCCTATACATCATCTTTTAAACTTTAAGTAGTTCTTCATTTCACCCATCCAACTAACAAAAAAATTAATCGAACATGCCGAAGAATTATAACAGCACGTGAAAATCAAGAAACCACTGCTATGTTAATACAAATTATATAAGATGAAACGTTAATCCCTTCTGGACGAAGAGATTTTTTCCACTTCTCAACAATTGACCCCCAACTATTTCTCACCTCTCTGCCTCTAAGGAAACTGATGGATTCAAAGAACAAATTGGTGTCATCAAAGTTTGTTTAGGCAATGCCTAGTCCTTGCCATAGATTAGAAAGTGAAATGGCATATTTGAAGGTCGAGAGAGTGACCAAATTATGAATAGTCAAATCATGGGACTCTCTGGGAGGAAAATATATTTGTTAAAAATAAGGCTATTTAAAGAAAGCTTGTATTTTAGGAGAAGACGACTGATAATATATGAAATAATGACTAGAATATTTACTTGGGATCATCCATTTGTTTTTCACTACCACTAAATCCCAAAGGTTTCTTCAAACTCTCATGTTGTCTGACTTTGGTTCACTACATTTTAAAACATTGACCGGTTTATTTGAAAAGACTAGAAATGAAGGAGAAAAGGTTAGTAGTCAGTCTGAAGATTTTCTGGCTAATAACACCTTAATCATAGATGTATGGCTTTAACTCCTTTATGTGGACACCACACATACGTACACACATATGCATGTATGATCACCCTATTTTGTCTACTCCTTACCAACACTGAGAAATAGGTAGTCTTTGGAAAAGAAGGAAGCTAAGTCTAAAAGATGTTGGGTAACGTAACAAATATCACACACTACTGGGAGCCTAAATTAGGGTTTTTAAATCAGGTCTGACTTTGAAGCCTTGCTTGTTCCTTGCTAATAAACTACACTGACTGAAGAAAACAAAAGATTAAAATCAACAACAGTAACAAGAGGAATGTGAGTGGGATATGAAGAAATCTCAGGCAGCTGAAGTTACGGTAATTACACAATAACTTTACTCAGACATTTTGAAATTGGACAGAAATCTTAGAGTAAAAGAACTGAATAATTTAAGGTCCTTTTCAGTAGATATTTTTCTACTATCTGATTTGATTGTAGTTTTTTTCACTTTTATACTTTATATTTTGAATTTACTTCTATCATTTTACTTGAGGAATGTGATAAAGATTTGGTTCTTTAAACAGAAAAAAGGCAATGCAGATCCATCTTTCACAAAATGATTTTCTGCTGCTAACAGGTATTAACGAACCTCATGAATAGTTCTTTGAAAATAATTCTGAATTTAGAATGAGAATCTGACTCCAAACTAAGAAAAAGTCTGTAGGTAATATAATGGATTTTTTTTAAACCACGTTTACCTTCTAAAAATAAAATATATCAAAAGACAGCCAAACAAGCACACCCTTACCTGCTTTGCATTTTCCTGGGTTTGTGCTGCTCTCCGTCCAAGACTGAGAATCAGTAAGAAGGTGACTCTGGGACTCTCTCAATGGCTTTGCAGGAAACTGATGGTTTTCGGAACTGAATAATAATTGAATAATCATCAAAATCATCATAAGCTAATTTTTGATGGTAAAGTTGATTGTTTCTCAATGTATGGAACCAAAACCACTTGCAATGCAAGATGATTGCAGGAGGTACACAAAATAATGTGGGGAATACAAGAAGAAGACATTAAATAGCACTGACTAGTGGTGAGAAAAGTGTTCTCTCTTCAGTCTCTTTTCCTTCTTCTGCTTACGGTAAGATGACAATCTCTAACAGTGGCAAATCTCCAGAGAACAGTCCTCAGCCCCAGGCTTTAGCAGGTAGTTAGAACTTAATAATAGTATTTTATTATCAATTTTATGTATGTATTTATGTTTGAGGCAGAATCTCACTCTGTTCCCCAGGCTGGAGTGCAGAGGTGCAGTCATAGCCTCAACCTCCTTGGCTCAATCAATCCTCCCCTATCAGCCTCCTGAGTAGCTAGGACCACACCACAACCCTCAGCTAATTATTTTGTTTTGTTTTTTGTAGAGTGGTCTCCCTATGTTGTCCAGTCTGATCACAAACGCCTGGTCTCAAGTGATCTTCCTGCCTTAGCCTCCCAAAGTGCAAGGATTACATGCATGGGCCACCACGCCTGCCCTATTTTTAAAGTTATATTCTATTTATAGAAAGCTATGCCAGTTTCTCATTTATGAGAGTGGTATAAACTTTGGTTTAAAAATAAGCATAAGTGCCAATTTAAATACAGAAAACTATTAATTTTGTAATGGTATGTGGATATGGAAGAAAATATGAATGTCATGGTAGGAAGACAAAGTTGAAGAAAAACTGGCCTACAGCTTCTAAAGTGGCCTAAATGGTCTTGAACACAATTTTCTCTATCTTCTTCTGTAAAACTGAAACAAAAAATTTGAGCAAACTATCTTGTAGGAATATAAAACACATCTGAAATTATCAGGTCTTACAAACCCAATGTTCAGTCTGGGGAGTGAGGAGTCTTGTAAGAAGTATTTTCTTTAAAATTTAGGTGGAAATGCCATACATCAACATATTGGATGGCATGAAAAAATATACATAAAAATATTTCACTTAGGAAACATTATTGGCATAGAAACTATTAGTGATGTTTTAGAATGTTCTGAAATAGTAATTGTATAGTATTCAAAAGAAAAAGCTACTTAAAATTCTTTCAAGAATAATTTCACATATTTGAGTTCAACTATATATAGTAACTATTATGTTTTTAAAGGATATATGGGTATGCTTTTTCTTCTTAATTACCTCATATCTAAAATTTTAGAATATTTCAATTTTGTGTAGCTTTAACAACTCCTTATTAAAATTTTGGAGGTAAATCTTAAAAAATAGAAAACAGCCTATCTCCATACAGGTTTAAACATATTATACAAAATATCTTACTGTAATTATTACTCTTCAAGAAAGGGACCATATAACAGGTACAGAAGACCAGCTAGATCCTGGTTTAGGGACTCTGAAGATTCATTACTGCTAACAGGACTCTAGCAAAGGGCAAGAATCCATTCATTCAACAATATTTATTGAGTACCTGTCACTTTAATAAACAAAATCACTGTTCTCATGGAAATTTCACTGTTACTGAGGAAGAAAAATAAATTTTGTGTGTGTGTGTGTATATATCTATATATACACATATATACATATACACAAATGAAATAAGTCAGGTGATAATAAGAGCTATAACAACTGAAAAAATCAGGCTGGGCACAGTGGCTCACGCCTGTAATCCCAGCACTTTGGGAGGCTGAGGCAGGTGGATCACTTGAGGTCAGGAAGTTTGAGACCAGCCTGGCCAACATGGTGAAACCCCATCTCTACTAAAAATACAAAAATTAGCCGGGCATTGTGGTATACATGTAATTCCAGCTACTGCGGAGGCTGAGGCAATAGAATTGCTTGAACCTGGGAGACAGAGGTTACAGTGAGCCGAGATTGCATCACTGCACTCCAGACGGGGTGACAGAGTGAGACTCTGTCTCAAAAAAAAGAAAGAAAAAAAAATTAGTGTAACAGGAAGTGGCAGAGAAAGTTACTATTTTACAAAGGGTTATCAAAGACTGCCTCTATTCTGAAGTTACGCCTGAACAGAATATAAATGAAGAGAAGACACAGCTCACTCAGATCTGGAGGAAGAATGGCAAGGAAAGGGAATTAGCAAGGACAAGGCACTATATAAGGAACATGCTTGGTCCATGTGAGAAACAGCAAGATCTGTGTGTCTGAGGATTGTGAGTGAAAGGAAAGTAAAAAATAATGACATCCAGAAGGCGAAGGGGAGAGGATTGCTTGAGCCCAGGAGTTTGAGGCTGCAGTGAGCTATGATCACAGAACTGCACTCCGGCCTGGGCAACAGGCTGTTAATAGAGACAGGAAGACCCTGTCTCCATTAAAAAAAAAAAAAATGACTGTTTGGGGTCAGATCAGACAGTCTTGTTAAGTGATGGAACGGACATTCATTAGCTTTTATTCTGAGTAAGATGGGAAACTAACAGAGCTTTCAGTAGAAGAGTGACACAATCTGACTTATATTCTGAAGGGAAAATAGATTGGAGTGGGGCAAAAATGTTAGACCAGTTAGAAAACTACTGAAGTAATCCATGGGAGCAGGGATGACGGCTAGGACCAGGAAAGACGCCTTGTAGGTCGTTAGAAAGTATTCAGATTATAGATATACTTTAAAGAGACATCTGATAGGATTTGCAAATGCAGTAAATACAAAGTAAATGAAAGAGAGGAATCCAGGATGACCCCACGGTTTCTAGCATGAACACATGGGAGAATGGAGGTCACTAATACTGATATATGGAAGCATGGTGGAGATTCCGGTTTAGGGTGGTGATGAGGGTACACATGGCTGGGAATCAAATTCAAAGTTCTGCTCTGAACCTGTTTATTTGGAGATGATTTTTAGGTGTCCAAGTGCATATGTCAAGTAGACAGCAAGATATTCAACTCTGGAGTACAGAAGAGAACAGAACTTGCCACAAAAATTTTATATGGGCTAAACATGGGAGATAGTACAATCCTACAGAAGAAAGAGACTTTAGCTGTCTAAATCTGACCTCAAAATTCAAAGGAAACAGAGCTCTCAAAAGATTACTTCTTCAAGATCACCTAGTTGGGTAACAGTGTCAGAATTAAGATTTCTCCCAAATCTCATGGTGCCCTTAGTGGAAGGAGAAATATTATCTCTAAAACCAAAATAATTTCTTAAATTATTTAAAAAACACAAAGGGCAAAAAAGTATTATAAACTACTACTGAATTTTGTAAAAGCTTGAAACGTATTCTGAATAATTTATTAAAACTAGATTTTTCTGTACTGAGGTATATGAAAAACCATAAACATTTAGCTCTGTGGGATTTTCAAGCCCAAATGCACAAGGCATGATCTAGTAAAAAACTCTGATGCCCTTGAATGTCCCTGTGAAATACATACACCGGGCACCTTCACTAACTGGTAGGGTCTGGCTGTACATAGCTCACTCTAGGGATGGGGTGACAAATACCTTTCATCTCTTTTGACAATTTAAAAGGATTTTAAATATAAATTCCTTTTAAATTTAATTCCCAATTTCAAAGGGCAGAGGCAGGAGGATCACTTGATCCTGGGCGGTCATGCTACAGTGAGCCATGATCACTCCACTGCTCTCCAGCCTCGGTGACAAGTGAGACCCTGTCTCAAAACTAAAACTAAAACAAACCAACAAACAACAACAACAAGTACTTTAGAATGGCTACCAGGAACACCGCCTTGAGGTTTATGGGGTCACTCCAGGCTCCCTAGGAAAAGGTACTGTGATCAATAAGAAATGTTCAATATGGAGTGTTGGTGTGGATTACTGTGTATGTGGCACTGAAGCAACTAAGAAAAGCTCTAACATTTAATGAAGAATTATATTATGGTTATGCTTTTGCTACTGGCTTTCATTTAAAAATTAGAGGAATGGTTATACTCAAATCTGTCACAAAGATATAAAAATTGGTGTTTCAAACCATTGGAAATTCATACATAGCATTTTAAAAGTTTAAGTAATTTTTCCTTTTGCCAGTTAGTAGCACATTCAGAATCAAATGTCAGGTCTTTCCGAGGCCAACCTCAAATTCTTGATAGTCTGGAATCAAAACAAACTTAAAGCTGGAGCAAAATCCTCCAGACAATGAATTTCCAAGACTCTGGCTCCTCTCTCCACAGAAATGGCTCAGATAATCTTTAGAGGTCTTTCAAGGGCACTAAGCCCATAATATATATTAAAATGGAATTGTCAAGGTGTCTGGGGATCCATTTGATCTCCAAAAGCCTCAAGTTTCTTTACCAGTTATCACAGAGAGGAAAGACGGGGCGGGTCAGGGGCCATTTTACCCTGTCTGCCTAACTGAGCAGTGGGTAGCTAACTTTGACTTACACTTTTTTTTCTTTTAAGCACTGCATTTAAATAATAAGATTTCAGTCAATCAAAATGTATAGAGAATTAACACCTTTTTACTCACACTTAGATTAATAACACCATTTTACAAGTATAATTGAAGCTTCTAATGTATCCCTCCTCAATCATACTTTCTTTTTTCCCTCATTTCAAGTGGAAACCATTGCAGGAAATTCTCTTATGGTCTTAATTTTTTTTCAAAGCAACGTGTAACCAAAAGACACAATATGGTAAAATACATTATTTGAAAGTAAAACGAAAAAAAAAAATATGAGATTACTTTTTAGCTGTGGAACTCAGCCCTGCGGGAGTAGATGGTTGTTCAGGATCCTGGTTAACAAGGCAAGTTGGAAAGGAGCAGCCATCACCTAGACTAGAATCAAAATAAAAATTTAGAACTGAACCACACGAAAGACAACAGAGTGAAACCCTGCCAAAATGCTGATGTCTGAGAGTAGAACATGCTATACTATAGGCAAAAAAAAAAAAAAGTGTATTAGACATTGAGTTCGACATAGTGTTTAGGAAGATGATGAATTAACTGACTTCCACGTGATATTATAGTGAATCATAGAAAAATACTTTTAAAAAATAAGAGTTCCTACACAGAATTACAAGCCTATGGAACTAGAAGCTTTTCCTGAAACTATCTTTTGCCGTATTATTTTCATTAGTTAAAGCCTGAAAATTTTCACAAAAGAGTACCTTGAAAAAATGGGTAGCAACCAGTACTTCTTCTCATCACCAAAAACTTGTCGCATGTTTTTACTGAAACCCAAGCTGAATCCATTCTTATCTGTTCCATGTCGAAATACTGGACTTCTGAATGCCTCTAAAAAAGATGGTAAAGGAATCACATGAGTAAAGAACGTATTTACTAGTAATCCTGAATATTTAGCAATAACTGAAATAAATGAAGAAACTGCAAATCAATGGCTAGCTGACTAATGTGAGTGCTAATGTGCCTATCAACACCCCTGAAATATAGGGTGTCCATTCTGTTTTAAAATATCATAAGATGTATCTATTTTAATTGTAAAATATGCCTTTTTATTATAACAGTACATATGCATTGTAGAAAATCAGAAAATACAAACTAGCAAATAAATTAAAACTGCATCTTCTGAATCTTTTGAACGATAGATAAATGGATGGATCCACAGATATAGATATACAAATCTACAGGTGTATTTTTTTAAAAAACCAAAATGAGACAATGTTTTACATACATTCCACTTGTTTTTCAGTAAATCCATTTTTTTTTTTTTTTTTTGAGTCAGGGTTTCACTCTGTTGCCCAGAGTGGAGTACAGTGGTATGATCATAGCTCACTGTAGCCTCAAATGCCCAGGCTCAAGCAATTCTTCTGCCTCACCCTTCCAAGTAGCTGGAGTAACAGGTGCCATGCCACCATGTCTGGCTAAGCATTTTCCAATTTCGTTGAAATTGGTTCTCATCTAATACAATTTTTCCAGCTGACTATAAAATGTACTTTTGAACTAGTCTGTCCAAACCAGGATCCAGTCCAGAACCATGTATTGCATCTGGTGATGCTCATTCTGCATATGAAAGCTGGTTCACAGAGGCTCTGGGACTTGCCTAAGGTCACACAACAAACACACACAGAGTGAGACTTGAATAAGGTCATCAACATTCCTTCAAAAATACTACATTTTCTTCTTGAATCATGCTGAAATGCAAAATCTAACATTTTATTTTTGGAACATGAACATGGAGGTATAATGATTTTTCTCCATTATATTAAAAAGGAAAATCTAACCAGCAGAATTAGGCACTATGAAAAAATGTGGTCATTTGCAAGATCCTTAGCATTCTTCATCCCAGGATATACAGTTTTTTCTAAAACATTTCATAGGACCATATTATCCAGGGGAAGTCCTTTCAGTGCTACAAGTTAAATCTAGAAGTTTCCAGAAGTTAAAAACCTCTAGAAACAATAAATTTACTTTTGACGAATTATAATCTAACTGCCTAACACATAATTTGAAATAAAATTCCTGGGCTTAGAAATTACTTTATTTTATCAGTAGTTTCACCCTAATAGTATTTGGTGTAATGATTTCATTTCAGAATTCTGTAATGTTTCATTTCAGAATACTGAAAATGAACACTAATTGACTATGCACTGTAATTAATCCTCATTGCATATTATAATAACCGAAGCTCACAGCTTGGAGTGTCCTTTATGATCATAAGCATTTGTGGTCCTGGTTGCATTCTCAAACTCCTAAATTTGGCCTAGAAACTCTACATAGCTTAGTCCTTGATTGCCTCTCAAATCTCATTAATGTATTTCTCAATCTTTAGCGTTCTATGCTTCAGCCACATGGAGTGTTTCTCAAATATTCCTAGTTTTTTTCTCTTTTCCTGTAGGGTCTTTTATTTTCAATTGAGGTGAAATTCACAGAGTGTAAAATTAGACTTTTTAAAGTGTTCAACAGAATGTAATATATTCACAATTTTGTGCACTTCCCACCTATATCAAATTTCTAAATATTTTCATCACTCCAAAAGAAACTCCATATCCATTAAGCTGTCACTCCCTACTCCCCTATTTCCTTATTCCCTAGTAATCACTAATGTGATTTTCCTCTACAGATCTACCTATTCTGGATATTTCATAAAAAAGGGAATCATAATATGTAGTCTTTTGTGATGGACTTCTTTCACTTAGCATGTTTTCAAGGTTCATCCATGTGTATCAGGACTTCATTCCTTTTTATGGTTAATATTCCATTGTATAGATATGCCACATTTCCTCCATCCTTGGATGGGCATTTAGGTTGTTTCAACCTTTTGATTATTGTGGGTAGTGCTGCTATGAACACTGGTATACAAGTATCTCTTTCAGTCCCTGTTTTCAATTCTCTTGGGTATATACCTAGGAGTGGAGCTGCTGGTTCATATGGTAATTCTATGTTTAACTTTTAAAAGAATTGCCAAACTGTTTTTCACAGTGGTGGCACCATTTTATATTCCCACAAGCAAAGTAGGAAGGTTTCAATTTCTCTACATCTTCACCAAGACTTTTTTTAAAAAAATTGTAGCCATCCTAGTGAGTGTAAAGTGGTACCCCAATGTGATTTTGATTTGCATTTTCCTAATGACTAATGATGTTGAGCATATTTTTCTGTGCTGGGATTTATCAAACAACAAATAAATGATGGAGTGAGATGTGAACGAGGTCATCAACATTCCTTTCATAATACTACATATTCTTCTTGCATAATGCTGAAATGAAAAACCTAAAATTTTATTTTCCCCATTTGTATATTTTCTTTGGAGGAATGTTTGTTTAAATGTCTATTCAAATTTTTTGCCAATATTTTAACAGAGGTGTTTGTATCTTTTTGTTGTTGAGTTACAAGATTTCTTTGCATATTCTGGATAGTAGGGCCCTTATCAGATAATGAATTGGAAATACTATTCTCCTTCTGCAGTTTGTTTTTTACTTTCTTGTGTTTTTTAATGCATGTAAGTTTTTAATTTTGATAGTGTAAGTTTCCTATTTTTTCTTTGTTGCTCATGCTTTTGATGTTATATCTAAGAATTCACTGTCATATTCAAAGTCCTGAAGATTTATCCCTCTATTTTCTTCTAAGAGTTTACAGTTTTAGCTCTTTCATTTAGGTCATTGATCCATTTTGACTTAATTTTTTGTATGATGTGAGGTAGGGATACAAGTTTATTTTTTGCCACGTGGATACTGAGTTGTCCTTGTGCAACTCAAATATATTATTCTTTCTTCACTGGATGGTTTTGGCACCCCTGTCGAAAATCAATTTGCTAAAGATGTATGGGTTTATTTCTGGACTCTCAATTCTATTTTATTTGTCTATATGTCCATCCTTATGCCAACACCACACTGTTTTGATTACTGTATGTTTTATAGTAAGTTTTGAAATCAAGAATGTGAGTCTTCCAGGTTTGTTCTTTTTTTGGTGAATACTGTTTTGATTATGTGGGGCTTCTTGCCATTCCACATGAATTTGAGAATTGGCCTTTTCATTGATGCAAAAAAAAAAGCCATTAAAATTGCAATGAATCTGTAACTCACTTTGGGTGGGTAATACTGCCATCTTAACAATATAAGGTCTTCCAAGTCCATGAACATGGGATGTCTTCTTTAATTTGTGTCAGCAATGTTTTGTAGTTTTCAGTGTGCTAGTAGTGTTATATGCACCTCCTTGGTAAATTTATTCCTATTTTATTTGTTTAGATGCCTTTTCAAATGGAATTTTCTAGATTTCCTTTTTGGGTGGTTTATTGCTAGTGCACAGCAATATAACTGATTTTTTTCATACTGATCTTAAATCAAGCAAATTTCATATTTTGCTTATTAGCTAAGCATTTTTATTGTGAATTCCTTAAGGTTTTCTATACATAAGATCATGTTATCTGTAAATTAAAATAGTTTTACTTATTTGTTTTCAATGCCTTTGTTTCTTTTCCTTGACTAATTACTCTGGCTAGAACTTATGTACAATGTGCAACAGAAGTAGTGAAGAGGAGCATCCTTGTTTTGTTTCTGATCTTAGAAACAAGGCTTTCAGTTTTACACTGTTGTGTATGATGTTAGGTGTAGATTTCTCACAAATGCCCTTTATCTCCTCATCAGGTTGAAGGAGTTCCTTATTTTTCCTAGTCTAAGTACAATTTTTCTTAATCTTGAAAGGATGTTGGATTTTGTCAAGTACTTTTTCTGCATTAATTTTTTCCATACTGATCTTAAATCATGCAAATTTCATATTTTGCTTATTAGCTAAGCATTTTTATTGTGAATTCCTTAAGGTTTTCTATACATAAGATCATGTTATCTGTAAATTAAAATAGTTTTACTTATTTGTTTTCAATGCCTTTGTTTCTTTTCCTTGACTAATTACTCTGGCTAGAACTTATGTACAATGTGCAACAGAAGTAGTGAAGAGGAGCATCCTTGTTTTGTTTCTGATCTTAGAAACAAGGCTTTCAGTTTTACACTGTTGTGTATGATGTTAGGTGTAGATTTCTCACAAATGCCCTTTATCTCCTCATCAGGTTGAAGGAGTTCCTTATTTTTCCTAGTCTAAGTACAATTTTTCTTAATCTTGAAAGGATGTTGGATTTTGTCAAGTACTTTTTCTGCATTAATTTTTTCCATACTGATCTTAAATCATGCAAATTTCATATTTTGCTTATTAGCTAATCATTTTTATTGTGAATTCCTTAAGATTTTCCATTTTTATTTCCTTCATTCTATTAATGTGGTATATTACCACTGACTGATTTTCATATATTAAACCCTACTTGCATTCCTGGGATAAATCCCTCTTGATCATGGTTGTGTAAGCCTTTTAATATGTTGTTGGATTTGGTATGCTAATATTTTGTTAACAATCGTTCCATCTATATTCATATTGGTCTATAGTTTTCTTGTGATGTTTGTGTCTCTGGTTTTGGTATCAGGGCAATGTTGGCCTCATAGAATGAGTCAGAGAGTGTCCCCTTCTCTTCTAATTTTTAGCAGAGTTTGAGAAGAAGTTAATTCTTCATTAAGTGTTTGGCAGAACTCATCAGTTAAGCCATTTTGTTCTGGGCTTTTCTCTTTGTTGTGAGTTTTTTTGATTACTGATTCAATCACTTTACTTCTTACAGGTCTGCTCTGATTTTCTACTTCTTCTTGAGTCAATTTGGTAGTCTGTGTGTTTCTGGAAATGTGTCCACTTTATCTAGGTTGCCTAATTTTTTGACAGACAATAGTTCACGGTATTTTCTTGGCCTTTTTATTTCCATAAAGCCAGTAGTAATGTCCTCACCTCCATTTCTGATTTCTGTGATGAGTCTTCTCTTTTTCTCTTGCTAGCCAAGGGATGTCATATTTGTTGACTTTTTAAAAAAGAACCAACTATTGATTTTATTGTTTTTCTATTTTTTAATACTCTATTTCTACTATCTCCTGTCTTTATTATTTCCTTCCTTCTGCTGACTTTGGTTTTACTTTGCTCTTCTTCTAGTTCCTTAAGGTATAAAGTTATTAATAGAGGTATTTCATTTTTAAATATAGTTATTTACAGCTATACATTTCCCTGTAAGCACTGCTTTTGCTGCCTCCGATATCTGTATGGCTTTTAAACATACATGTTCTGGCTTTTTCTATAGCTGACTTCTTAGGTTAAGTACTTTTTGTTGTGATAAGCTCTCCCCTGACCACTCACTCTACATAGGCTTCCTTCCACCATCCCCATCCTTTTATTCATACCTCAGCATCCTTTTATTTTCTTCAAAGCATTTGCATTTTGTAATCACTTTTATGTTTAGTTATTAATTTTTGTGCCCCTCACTAGACTGTTTTGCCCCTGCTCACCACTGTGTGTGTGTGCGTGCCTGTGTGTGTGTGTATATATATATGCATATATACATATAAGAGACAATCAATATATGGAATGAGCAAACCTGTATGTGTCTAAGTGATATATCAAAAAAATAATGAGGAAAATAAGAATGATTTTTACCACTTCAGGGCAGGTTGGCATTTAATCACATAACAACTGTCAATGAATGTTGGTATATGTACTTAAAGTTCTGTCAACTACAATAATCGGATACTCACCTAATGTAGATTTATTTTTGCTGACTAGCCAACAATGATAGCCAAACAGAGAAGACAAGCTGACAGAAAACATAGCTGCAGCAAAGAATAAAAACATAATATGGAACTTGGCTTGAGTATCAGGTAGGCCATTCTACAAAGAAAGGAAGAAAATAAAATGTTTTGTCAAAGGGATATGTATTCCCCTACTTTTATAAGTAAATTAGTAAGATTTTTTCTTAAAATTTTTCTTAAATTTAATATGAAAAAATATGTGGCTTTATTGTTAAAAGTTTAGGAAAAATATGTATACATTTTGTCAGATTAAATGTTTACCAGAATATGTATATGAAAATGATATTAAAATTTGGAATATTAACTTTTTTTTCATAACCAAATCATAGAAAATTTATGGTAGTATATGTATAAACTGTAATAGTAAGAAGCAAGATAAATGGAACTATAAAATGTAGTTTTAAATTTATTAACAGAGTATGTTTTGTTAACATACTACAGAATCACAAATGTTTAAAAAGTTTCATTATAATGCCAGAGAATGAAGGCTAACTGGCACAACTTGGTTACTATCCTTATTGATGTTTTACGTTACTACAAACAACAGCATCACCTAAATGAAGACATGTAACAACACATTCACAATAATGCTTCAAGTTATCTTAAATAATAGGACCACAGAAAAGATCAACACCAGTGCATAACACCTGTCTAAAATAAATCTTAATATCCATGGGCTGAAACAGTCCATCTCAAAGAAAACCAGTTAGACTCTCCTTGTTTATAAATCCAAAGAGACCTGGAATGGCTCTAGAATGGAGGGGATGGGGCTATGGACACATAGTGAAGCACCATGGCTGCCAGGAGGTGGCTTTTCCTCACATTTCAATACCCTGGAGTACCTGACCGATTGACACAGGTCACAAGACCTCACTGACAGTTTTCAACAGCAGCAGTTTTTTTTGTTTTTTTTTTTGACAAACAGTGAAAATTCTGATCATTCCTTTTCAAATGTATTTGTGGTTTGAAACTAAAGTCATCCGCAGGAAGGAGAAGCAGTGAGGTAATGTTCTCCCAGACATTCACTAGGGATCATTTTTCAAGCTGGACACTGAAAGACTCCTTGAACACTAGCAGCAGGCCTCTTCACTCATGTCTTTCTATGCTTAGCAACAGAACTGGCACACAGGAGGCATTCCATAACTCTTTGGTATTTAATTTGGTTCAGATCTCACATAAGTAATCTAGCAATTTAGAAATTCTTACCATAATAGAGTTAATTTAATGAAAATAATAAATCAATCCTGGCAGCAGATAAATTGATTTTTTACTGTCATTTGGTGTTCACAAGGAGGACCTCTGGATATCTTAAATCCTCAATGTTAATTTCTTTTTGCCTACATTTAAAATATATAGTGTATAAAGCCTAATCAAGAAATACTGAATAAAAACTCAGGACATTATAGGCATAATAGTTTAAAAAATAATCTTCTTAAACATAAAGAAAATACTTCTATTTTTAAATCCTGAAAAAATCTTATATAGTCATCAATTCTCGTTATTCGCAGTACGTATGTTTTATAAAGTTTCCACAAACGTTGAATTTGTGAATACTGAAAAACTGCTCCCAGGGAAAATACAGGGTTAGGTTTCTATGAACTTCTGGTCACAACATCTTTGACAACTGATCAACGCGTAACCTTGTTTTATGTGTGTTTCTGCTTAAATGAACCTTATTTAATACATATTGTTGATTTGTTAATATAGAACTCATAGCTAACAGCACTATAACTCATGCCTGAATTCAGCTTATCTAATACATGTATTTTCTCCATAAGACACATCAGTTTTCTTTTGCTTAGAAACATTAGACCACACTTCAGCACTACATTTGAAGACCTTTTTTGACAGCAAAATCACCAACAAAAAGCACAAAAATGGAAAAAAGCATGGCACTAAGTAGACTGTGAAAAGCACACTTGTTTACAGTATGAGAGCTGAAGCAAGAAGGCAAAAGCGTCGTCTTGTTCAACCTCAGCTGGGAATGGGCACGGGGGCAACTCAATGTTTTTGTCACTCTGCACATGTCTGCAGATGACGAAAGCTGTCAGTATTGATGTGGGGGTTACAATTACATTTTAGTGAATTAACAAATATAGAATCTGCGAATAATGAGGACTGACTGCATGTCAATGAGCTCTAGTCTATAAAATCTCTGTCTGAAATAATTCTGTCCTGCAAAGCCTACATTATTATTGTATACCAAAAAAAGAGTTACCGAGTTAATGACTTACTGTCCAAAATTTGATAAAATACTGTAAATCTGTTGCCGCAATAAAAAGGCAGTAGAGCAGAGAATAAGCCAAGAAAAGGAGAAAGAACTTATAATTTGAAAATCCAACACAATTGTTCACCCTGTTAACAAAACAAAAACATTTCCAGTGAGTTTTACATCTTCAACCTACATGTGCATATGCTCAAGCAAGTGTTCAGCTTCCTCTCGGTTTTAATTTATTGGCATTTCTTTAAATATAACTCACAATATTTCTTCATGCATACAATCATTTAAAAATCCATTTCACTAAAGAGAAATTTGCTTCCATTTTTAAAACATGATATTTAATATTGCTTTAGCCAATCATAAACAGTGTAACTGCACGTCATGTCAAATTACACAAGTATGCACATCCCTCAAAGCACAGAGCCCATTAGAAACCTCATCAGGCCAGGCAGTTTAGGTGAATTTACTAAACCCTTCCTCTATGCTATCTTTGGGTTTGATTTCCAACTATGATTAAATAAGTTAACATTTTTCAAGTGTTCCCAGATTAGATGGAGTATCTTCACAGATTACTCTTTGCATGCCATCACTGAAGCAAGCGGACTGTCAAAGCATATTAAATAGGAGCTTTAAGAAAAGAAGTAGGCCAGGGAGTTAGACAGCCGGGTCAGAATGCCCATGTAACACTAAGTAATGATGCGGCCCTGAGGAAGTGAAATCATCAATTAGAATTTCATTTCTTTATCTGTAAGTTAAACACTCTGAGGTCATTTCCAAAAGTCGGCTCTAAATATGCTATAATTCCAAACATGGAAATTTATAAATCTCAGTTCTCACTCCAAAGTCGTTATCTGAGGGGGGATAACTCAAACTACTGTATCAATAAACGTAAGTACAACTACAATTCATTTTTATAGGCTCACTTTATTTTTGTTAAGATTTTCCTTTTTTAAAAAAATTATATTTTATTTTACTTTAAGTTTTGGGATAAAGTGCAGGTTTGTTACATAGGTAAACGTGAGTCGTGCGGGTTTGTTGTATAGATTATTTCATCATCCAGGTATTAAGCCTAGTACCCATTAGTTGTTTTGCTTAGCCCTCTTCCTCCTTCCACCCTCCTCCCTCCAAAAGGCCCCAGTGTGTGTTGTTCCCTCATCTGCGTCCATGTGTTCTCATCATTTAGCTCCCACTTATAGGCTTATAGGCTTATAGGCTCACTCTCTTTCTATCAAATTTTTGGTTTCCTTTTCTTAAAGACAAGGGCATTACTGGATGACCTTGTGTCAATGTGATACAACACCCATGTGGAATTGGCTAATACCTTCATGGGTTGAGTAACTTCTTGGTTAACCAGTATAATGAACCTATTAAATAGAACATACACGTTTCCTTTTCCAGTGTTCAGCCTATTGCATAGAACACACACATATTGTTTCCTTTTCTCAAATGTCCTTGTTCCTGTTCTAATGTAGGTAAAAATCACCTCACCCTCCACTGACTTAGCTACTAAGATGAAACACTTTTCTCTCTAGATTTGTAAAAATGAAACCATGTTCATGTGAAAAAAATGTTTTTACATCATATCCCTCAAAAAATATGAGGTAAAGGGAATAGCATTAGATTTAGTAATTTTTAAACTTAAAGGTCTTTTGGGCGCGGTGGCTCATGCCTGTAATCCCAGCACTTTGGGAGGCCGAGGCAGGCAGATCACAAGGTCAAGAAATCAAAACCATCCTGGCCAACATGGTGAAACTCTGTCTCTACTAAAAATACAAAAATTAGGTGGGCATGGTGGCATGTGCCTGTAGTCCCAGCTACTCGGGAGGCTGAGGAAGGACAATCACTTAACCCAGGAGGCAGAGGCTGCAGTGAGCCGAGATAGCGCCACTGCACTCCAGCCTGGCAACAAAGTGAGACTCCCTCTCAAAAAAAAAAAAAAAAAGAAAAGAAAGAAAAAAAGCCACAAATTGTGGGTGCACATTGTATGGAAACAGTTACATCTGCATCTCTAGAGGTTCCAGTGAGGGGATGAAAGCCAGTTGCTGAGGTTGCCTTTTATGGTGTTTGAATGGAATCTGGCAGGAAATAATATTGTAAACAATGAGTCTAGTCTAATTGTATCCTGTCTCAAAAGGATACAGGATATTCCCTTTGCATACTTATATTGGTTTCAAGGGGAAGGAATGCGTAGGCAAAAGCTGAGGTGCTTTAACACTTTGGACAACATGGGTGGGCACGGTGGCTCACACCTGTAATCCCAGCACTTTGGGAGGTTGAGGCAGGCAGATCACCTGAGGTCAGCAGTTCAAGACCAGCCTGGCATGTCTTGGTGAAACTCTGTCTCTACTAAAAATACAAAAAATTAGCCGGGCATGGTGGCGTGTGCTTGTAGTTCCAGCTACTCGGGAGGCAGAGGCAGGAGAGGTGCTTGAACCCAGGAGGCTGAGATAACGCCACTGCACTCCAGCCTGGGTGACGAGCAAAACTCCATCTCAAAAATTAAATAATAAAATAAAATAAAAATACAAAAACTAGCTGGGCATGGTGGTGAACGTCTGTAATCCCAGCTACTCAGGAGGCTGAGGTGGAAGAACTGCTTGAACTCGGGAAGCAGAGGTTGCAGTGAGCCAAGTTTTCACCACTGCACTCCAGTGTGGGTGACAGAGTGAAATTCCATCTCAAAAAAAAAAAAAAAAAATACTTCGGACAACATAGGTGTAAATAAAGACTTGTGGACTAGGAAGAGATTGGAAGGGATAGAAAAGATTGTTTCTCTTCCTGAAGGAATAGAAGTAGCTTTTGTATTAAATAAGAAAGAGTATTTTTATAGAAAGAAAATGATTTTGATCACAGATTTTATAACAACTAATTTAGCTTTGCTTAAGAGGATGGTACAATTTGCCATGTTATAGCTAGGGACACAGGAGGTCAGTAAATAAAGACCATGTATTTTAGAGTTTAATATGTATATACGTAGAGTATATGTGTGTGTGTGTATATGTGTGTGTATATATATATAAAACTAGAAGAAATATAGTGACATTTATTTTGAATAATACCTTATTGTCTTCGTAACAGACAACTTTTGGCTAGACATTTTAACTGCCTATTGCTTTACAGACTCAATTTGAAAAGGAAGAAGACTTCTTCTGAATCTATTTCTCCATCTAGAAAAGGAATGACTTCACATGGAGAAACAAAACGCGTTCTAGGTAAATATCCTTCTTACATTAAGCTCAGCGTAAAACACAGCTGTTGGTCCTGTTTCCAGGCAATTGCTTTCTGACTTTAAATTGGAAAAAGAACATAATACACTGGAAGGAGTGTGGCCTTCGAAGTAAAAAAAAAAATTTCCTATGAAACTTTGAGCCCACTCTTTCTCTTTTCTGAGCCTCATTTTTTTTCCCTATAAAATGAGACAAAGATCCAGGAGGCGGAGCTTGCAGTGAGCTGAGATCGCGCCACTGCACTCCAGCCTGGGAGACAGAGCGAGACTCCATCTCAAAAAAAAATAAGATAAAATAAAATGAGACAAATAATTTCTACTTCTTTCTGTCACTGTTTCAAGTATTACAGATTATACATATGGCCTCTAGAACATAATTGGCACTCAATAAATTGAAGCTCAAATAATTTGTTTTTGTATTACTTAACCTTTGGCAAGCATGTAAAAGTATTATTAATATGATATAATTAATTAACTAAAATTTTACACTAAAGGAAAAAATACTTTGATAGAAAATCCAATAAAGCAAATACTATGGAATCTGTTTTACTTAAAACACAAGTATGAGATTGATCCCCGAAATTCTGGTGGGTAATCTTCAGTGGCCAGAGCAGAGACTGAGAAATCATTGCAAAATGGAGAGGTATTATTGATTCAATGTGTCAAATGTTCAAAGCTGACAGATATTAAGGTCAAAAGACCTGTTTAAAACACCTGTATAAAAAGGCTGCCCCGGCCGGGCGTGGTGGATCACGCCTGTAATCCCAGCACTTTGCGAGGCTGAGGCGGGCAGATCACGTGGTCAGGAGATCAAGACCACCCTGGCCAACGCAGTGAAGCCAAAAATACAAAAAAAAAAAAAAAATAGCCAGGCGTGGTGGTGGACGCCTGTAGTCCCAGCTAGTTGGAGGCTGAGGCAGGAGAATGGCATGAACCCAGGAGGCGAAGCTTGCAGTGAGTCAAGATCATGCCACTGCACTCCAGCCTGGGCGACACAGTGAGACTCTGTCTCAAAAGAAAAAAAAAAAAAAAGAAAGGCTGCACCTGGGTCTGAAAACATCCTAAAAGTACTATAAGTGACTGTCATTAGACGAATACATTCACACAAAGCCTGTAGAAAAAGATTTTTTATGTATTCATATAGAAACATTTCCAGAATATATTAAGTGAAGAAAATAAAAAGAAACAGATTCAGTCAATAATGTAGTCACTTGTACTAAAAAAAAAAAAAAAAAGAGAGAGGGGTTTAGTAGGCCACGCACACATACGCACACATACATTGAGATCTGAAAAGTGCCATGACATTGACGATCCTGGTTCTCTGTGTGTAGTGGAAGAAGGTGGGAGAAGGACTGGAAAGAACATGGCCACCCGTTTTATTTTTGAATTTGGAACCAAAAGCATGTTATCAGCTATAGACTTTTTAATTTAAAATTTTATTTTATTTTATTTTATTTTTTATTTTTTATTTTTTTTGAGACGGAGTCTCACTCTGTGGCCCAGGCTGGAGTGCAGTGGTGCAATCTCAGCTCACTGCAAGCTCTGCCTCCCGGGTTCACGCCATTCTCCTGCCTCAGCCTCTCGAGTAGCTGGTACTACAGGCGCCCGCCACCACGCCCGGCTAAGTTTTTTGTATTTTTAGTAGAGACGGGGTTTCACCGTGTTAGCCAGGCTGGTCTCGATTTCCTGACCTCGTGATCCACCCGTCTTGGCCTCCCAAAGTGCTGGGATTACAGGCTTGAGCCACCGCGCCTGGCCTAATTTAAAATTTTAATTTGAAATTTTAAAATTACATACAATGGCTGCTCCATTCAGCTGGCACCAAGTGAGTATTAGGCCCTTGGCATCAAATCCTTCACAAGTCAACATGGCTGCTGCTTTCTGCAAGGGAGTACCCAGAGCTACAACCGTGGGGGGGACAGTGGATGCAGCAAGGGAAGTGATGGGGAAGAGAACGATGACACGGGTTAAAAGGTACCGCAGTCAGTCCATTCACCTTCCCACACTGCCAGCTAAGGGTAGAGCAACAGCAGGTGGTGTGTAGGTATGCCACGTGAACCTATTTTTAAAAATACTAGGGTCCCATTTCTGTTGTTCTCCTTCACTTATTTAACAGGACCTGTGAAAACTGGAAAGGCTATCAAATTGTAAGTTTCTCACGAGGCCAAATGAACTGTTGATTTAGAAAGATTACTATAATGGTAAATTATTTTCTCTTTTTGTAATTTTATGAGTACCGCATGGGTATGGGAAGCTTTATAGGTATGTACTGACCTGATTTTTTCCCGCCTCTCCACTCCTTGTCATCACAATCCCTTATAAAGGTCAGAAAAATCAAAATCAACGCTATGCCTCTGATGACTAGCACTCTGCTGAATATATCTGGAGTATACAGTTATCCAGAGAGGAGGGTGCTTAATATGGTTTACCCCAAAGCAGACCCTGAGACAAGAACTTGGATACAGTTCATTTGAGACAGGAAGGATAGAGCATTTTTTACTGGCCAGGCTGTCAGGGGTTGAGGGTTGCCCCTGGAGGTATGAATGCCTTGGCACTTCTGGACTGCCTGGCTTGTAGAGCTGAACAAAACTACCCAGATAGAAGAGACCCCTCAGGCAGAGAAGAAAAGAAACACAGATGCCTGAATGGGGAGCTGCCAGCGGGTACGGGAGCTGTTCACCACAGATGCCATGAACTCAACAGGTGAGTCATGGGGATACAGGTGGGGCATTGACAGCAACTGCAGGGGAAGTCAACAAATGAATGTAAGGAGAACGAAGAAGACGTTGGCTGGGCGTGGTGGCTCGTGCCTGTAATCCCAGCACTTTGGGAAGCCGAGGTGGGCGGATCACAAGGTCAAGAGTTCGAGACTAGCCTGGCCAATATGGTGAAACCGTCTCTACCAAAAATACAAAAATTAGCCAGGGGAGGTAGCGGGCGCCTGTAATCCGGCTACTCGGGAGGCTGAGGCAGGAGAATCGCTTAAACCCAGGAGGCAGAGGTTGCAGTGAGCCAAGATCGCGCCACTGCACTCGGGCCTGGGCGACAGAGCGAGACTCTGTCTCAAAAAAAAAAAAAAAAAGAAGAAGAAGAAGGCGTCTAATTAAAGACACGGAGGGAGGGGGAACACTTGCTGGAAGAAGAAAAAAAAAAACAGAAAACAAAAGTGGGCGGGGGGCGGGTGCAAAAGAATGAATGCAAGTTTCAGTTAGTACAAAGGGGGGTTATTTATCGAGACCTGTAAGAAGAATGCCATTCTTGTATGGATTGACTAGCCTGAATGCTTTAAAGGAGAAAATCGAGGTGGAGAAAAGAAAGAGGTACAATGGTGAAAGATATGAGATACCATAATCCCTACATTCCCCTGGGAATCTTTCCTGCTGCTAAGAGAACTGTTCCCTACATATATTTCCCCCTATACCTACTGTGGACTTGTGGGCATGTCTACCTTTCTGTAGAGCCATCCCTGAAAGAAGGCTTGAAGAGTAAGTAATACTCATGCCCAAATCCAACCTGGCCAGCAACCTGGGCATGACTATCAAAGACATGTGTACACTGAGATGAAAAATTATAGGAAAAGGAAGGAAAATTAACCTTACTAATCAGATCTTTCAAATAATCCTCTATTAAATTACCTAATTTCGTGACTGAGAAATATTAGCAAATATTGATGAATTCTATGTGGAAAATCTTATTTAAATGTATGTGTGTATTTGTATATCTGTGTAGTTGGTATTCTACTCCTTAATGTCAACTTTTGTGTAAAATAAATTGTTAAAAAGCTTTAGATGACTTAATTCTTTATAAAAACCTTCCAGTGAGGTACTATGTATAATTTACGTGTACATCTTTGTGTATGTTTCTGTGAAGTATTCTGGAATCTCTATGTTTATGCACATGCATACAAAGAAAATCCTTTTTTCTGAGCTAACATGTGATATTAACTGTTATATTGTTAACCTACTGGTTTTAAAAGTATTTCATGGAAACTCCCCTAAATAAAGGTTCTTTTAAGTTGATCAAACAAATCGCAGAAACTAAATCTGAAAGTTCCTGCTATGTCAACTCAAGTAATATTTCATTTGTGAAAAGATTTACATGGGTGATTCAATTTATTAACATTTATAAGGGACACAAACTCATTTAAATACACAGTCAACTCACCATGGGCAATGATGATCCATCTTCAAAATACATCTAAAAAACAAAGCAAAACACAAAACCCAATACCCCATGAAATTTTAATCATATTACATTACAAAAATATAAATTATGGTTAGTTCAAAGAGCTGCGGCAGGCAAAATACTGCAAAATTATTTACTTATCTAAAAATTGGATAATAGCAGAAGTTCTCACCTAAAATAAACACTATAGCCAATTCTTATAATAAGGTAACTTGAATTTGAAATATACATGCTTAAGATGCAAAGCAACTCATTTTCTAAAAACAATATAATGTATTAATATACAACTATCTTATGCTAAAGAAAGAACAAAACTGCAATGGATTTACAGAAAGTCTGGATAAAACTTCTCCTTCAATATCAATCCTGATGCCAAGTCATACTGTTCTTGGAGTATATTAAATATATAACAACTGGTCTGACTGTCATGAAGTCAACTGAGTTATCTTTGTAAAAATGGAAAACACTCACAGAAGTATTTCCTAAATTGAACTAGCCAAGTCAGAACTGCTAAAAATCACATACTTCAGGGCACCATGAATCTGGGGGCAAACTGACACTTGACTGTGGCCTCAGACCTCACTGACATGAATGCCAGCGGGTTATCCCAACTGTATTTCCTAAATCAAGGGCTGAGAAGCGAGAATATGGAGAAGATAATCAGGAAAACAGTGAGAAAAGAAACATAACGAAGAAAAAGACCACCAGCATGTAGATATTTTAGAAGTTAAAGGTTCTCTTACTTATCACAGACGGAGCAGTGATGGCAGCGATCTGGTTTTATAAGTTGGCATCTGTCACAGTATCGGATGGCTAGGGACAAAAAGCTCCACTTAGTCTTAGAGTTAACACTGAATTGAATATACAATTAAATGGCTTTTATCATCTCTTCAAATTTAAATTTTAAAAAGCATATAAAATTTAAATCTGGTAAAAAATAAGATATCTGATGCTGTTTAAACACAAAAATGGAATGACTTGCCTACAGCCACAGTTCTCTGGAGGTTTAACAAGAACAGAGAATCTCCTAAGGAAATTTTTCTGATGTTTTTTCAATTGTCAGTAGTTATAATAAGTGAGTCAGAAACAAATATAAGTAATATAAAAATCGTTTTTTTTTTTTGAGATGGAGTCTCACTGTCGCCCATGCTGGAGTGCAGCGGTGTCATCTCAGCTCACTGCAGCCTCTGCCTCCTGGGTTCAAGCATTTCTCCCACCTCAGCCTCCTGAGCTGAGTAGCTGGGACTACAGGTGTGCACCACCATGCCCAAGCTAATTTTTTTGTATTTTTAGTAGAGATGGGGTTTCACCATGTTGGTCAGGCTGGTCTCGAACTCCTGACCTCAGGTGATCCACCTGCCTCAGCCTCCCACAGTGCTGGGACTATAGGTGTATGAGTCACCACACAGAGTCACAAATCTTAATGAGTTTTTCTTTCTTTCTTTCTTTTTTACATTTTTATTTATTTTATTTTTTAGGGACAGGGTCTCACTCTGTCACCCAGGCAGCAGTGCAGTGGTGCAATCACAGCTCATTGCAACTTCTAACTCCTGGGCTCAAGCAATCCTCCACCTCAGGCTCCCAAGTTGCTGGGATTATAGGCACAAGACACTGTATCTGTCCATTAAAGAGATATTTTATATTTTTTTTTTCATAGTAAGTCTTTGAAACCAGTGTGTATTTTATACTTAGAGCACATCTCAATTTCAACTGGCCATATTTTAAGTGCTCAACAGCCACATGGGGCTAGCAGCTACCATAATGGGCAGCACAGGTCTGAAGCCACAGTTCTGGGCAAGTCTTGGTGGGTAAGCATCACTAGTTCATGGACATCAGTTGTAAGACAATTATTTAATTGGATAGTTGTCAAATTACCTTAAAGTATGTCCCAAGCAAGAGATCTGTTAATTTAACTACATTTGTAAGAAAATTTTAAAGAGAGATAAAAAATTATACCAATACCTAAATGAAATTTTACATCACCTATATGACTGTTCTAAATTTATGAAAAAATACTTGTAAAAGTATTCATTTTATATTCATTACAGACACTGCTGCCTTAAATTAAATATGTATAGGAAAGTCTACAATTAAAACCTTAAACATGAATACTACTATAAATCAAGATTTCAGCAGTTCTCACATCTTCACTGAGTCATAACTAAGTAGGCAGAACAGGATTAAAGTCAGTTCTGATTTCCTTGAGATCTCTTTGCCCACAGTGTTATTCAGGTTTCCATTCTGTTTTATGGAATCATTCAGGAAAGATTTAACAGCAGTGCAAGAAATAACACAGTATTCTGAAAAGAGTGTTTTACCATTTCAAGTATATAAACACATTTTCTTACAGTCACGTTAATGATGCTATTTGCATATCATTGCAAAGCACCCATTATTGACATTTACCTCCAGACATGGTCCTGGTATAGATGGGAAGATCCTTGGCTGCTCGCCTAAGAACTTCCTGATGGGCTTCTCCTCTTGGCTCTCTCTCTAACAATTCTTTCTCTGCATAAGAGAGATGGAACTGTGGAATACATTTAAATTTTAATCAGTATTTTCAAAGAAATAACATACTGGTCTTCTCTACCATACCCGGAAAAGGGTATTTATAAAATATTAATGGTATATTGTACATTCAAAGAGACAATAGAGTTTGAAATCTGGGCAAGTCTGTTCACCTTACAGGTCATTCACTTAATGCATCTAGAAAAAGGGTATAATACTAGTAATCATAATACCATTATACCTACTTCCTCTGGTTTTTGTGTAACTCGAAAGGAACAGAGTACATAAAAATGCTTATAAACCGCAGAGTTCCAACAAAATATTAGTTATACTGATAGATAAAAAGGCCCAATGAATAAATAAAACTCAGTGAATAAATTTTTCATTTAGATCATTAAGAACAAATGTAGAAAATCCATTAAGCATATTTTCTTATTTAAGTGAGTTTTAACCTAGAGATAATCCTTACATGAAATCTCCCACAGCACTTCTAAAGGGTCTAATTATTTATTTTACTTCTTATACTGACAATTTGGTCCGGCTAATTTTAAAATATTTGAGAAAGATAAAATTTGGGCTCCTGTTTAATAATATACATATAAATATATATCTTACACACACATACAGACACACACACACCTGTATAAATTTCTATAAATGTGCATCAGGAGACATGTACAAGAAAAATCTAAGTATCATTGCTTGAAATATAAAAAAACTAAACACAACTCAAATGTCCATCAAAAGGATGATGGATAAACTGGGGTATGATATATCCAAATAATGGAATAGTACCGGCATTTAACAGTTAATAAACTATAGTTGTGTATAGCAAAGCAAAGAACCTCAATATAATGAACATTAAACAATCTTCCAGAACATATATACAATGATTCCATTTATCTAATTTTAAAACCAGCAAGCTAAAGAACATATACATTGTTGTTTAGAGATACATATACATGTGATAAAATTATAAAGAAAAAGGAATAGAAAATGCAGGATAGTTGTTACGTTTTGAGGAATAAAGGGAAACAGCTGACAGACGCACAGCAGAGATGGAAAATGTGAACAGTGTTTGACATACTGGCTCGGTGACTGCTTAGGTGTTTTCACCTGATTATTCTTTAAGAAGTGCATTATATATATGTTTTTGTATATATGCAATAATATGCATAAAATATTTTACAATTTAAAAAACTTTTAAAAAGTGATATGTCAGTGAAATAATCTACTATAAAGACAGATGCACATGTATGTTTACTGCGGCACTATTCACAATAGCAAAGACTTGGAACCAACCCAAATGCCCATCAATAATAGACTGGATAAAGAACATGTGGCACATACATACCATGGAATACTATGCAGCCATAAAAAAGGATGAGTTAATGTCCTTTGCAGGGACATGGATGAAGCTGGAAGCCATCATTTTCAGCAAACTAACACAGGAACAGAAAACCAAACACCACATGTTCTCACTCATAAGTGGGAGTTGAACACTAAGAACACATGGACACCGGGAGGGGAACATCACACACCAGGGCCTGTCAGTGGGTAGGGGCCTAGGAGAGGGATAGAACTACGATAAATACCTAATGTAGACGATGGGTTGATGGGTGCAACAAACCACCATGGCAAACCTCCATGTTCTGCACATGTACCCCAGAACTTAAAGAATAATAAAAAATGCTAATAAGCCACTGATGGACTATTAAATTTAAAAAATGGGGAACAGGTACACTCTGAATATCAAAATAAAACTAGAAAGGTTTTTGACTGCAGTATCTGTATCACTGATAGCAGCTCTGGACCCGCCCAGGGCCTGAGGAAACTCTCCACCCTGAAGGGAAGGACACAAGCCTAACTGACTTTGCCACCTACTGACTGCAGAGCCCTTCAGCCTTGAGTGAACATAGATGGAGGAGCCAGGTAGTGGACACAGCGGGCCTTGGGCAAGACCCAATGCTATTCTGACTTTGGGTCTGACTGAGCACAGTCCCAGTGGTGTTGGCCACAGAGGTGCCATGTCACCCCTCCACCAGCTCCCGGCAGCTGAGCACAGAGAGAGAGAGAGGCTCTGTTTATTTAAAAGAATGTAAGGTAGAAGAACAAGAATCTCTGCCTGGTAATCCAGAGAATTCTTCCAAATCTTCTCCAAGACCACCAAGGCAGTACACATCTACCAGTCTGTAAGAACCACAGTATTACTGGGACTGGGGTACCTCCTAATGCAGATACAGCTTAGATCACAACACCTAACCTGGAAAGCTTTCCCAAGGAGGAGAAATACTAAAATTTATATGGAATCACAAAAGACCCAGAACAGCCAAAACTATCCTGAGTAAAAAGAACAAAACTGGAAGATCACATTACCTGACTTCAAATTACACTACAGAGTTTAGTGTAAGGGAATAACCTAAATAGCATGGTACTGGCATAAGACTAGCATTTGTACAGAGTAACCAAAATAGCACAGTATTGGCATACATAGACCAATGGAAAAGAAGAGAGAACCCAGAAACAAATCCACACATCTACAGTAAACTCATTTTCAACAAAGCTGCCAAGAACACACACTGGGGAAAAGGCAGTCTCTTCAATAAGGGCTGCTGGGGAAACTAGATCTCCACATGCAAAAGAATGAAATGAGAGCCATATCTCTTGCCCTTCACAAAAATCAAAACGGATTAAAGACTTAAATCTAAGACCTCAAATTATGAAACCAGTAGAAGAAAATATTGGGGAAACTCTCCAACGCATTGGCGTGGGCAAGGATTTCTTGAGTCATATCCCACAAGCACAGGCAACCAAAGCAAAAGCAGCAAATGGGATCGCATCAAGTTAAAAGGCTTTTGTACAGCAAAGGAAACAATCAACCAAGTGAAAAGACAACCCACAGAATGGGAGAAAATACTTGTCAACTCCCCATCTGATAAAGGATTAATATCCAGAATGTATAAGGAGTTCAAATAACCCTATAGGACAAAATCTAATAGTCCAATTTACAAATGAGCAAAAGATCTGAATAGACATTTCTCAAAAGAAGACACACAGAGGGCAAACAGGTAATACGAAAATATGCTCAACATCCGTGGCCATCAGAGAAATGCAAATCGGAACTACAATGAGATATCGCAACCCAGTTAAAATAGCTTTTATCCAAAAGACAGGGAAAGGGGAGGTGCAGCGGCTCATGCCTATAATTGCAGCACTTTAGGAGGCCAAGGCGGGAGGATCATTTGAGCCCAGGAGTTTGAGGCCAGCCTAGGCAACATAGCAAAATCTCGTCTCTACAAAAAAATAAAAAAAAAAATTAGATAGGCGTGGTGATGTATGCCTATAGTCACAGCTACTTAGGGGGCTGAGGCGGGACTATTGCTCGAACCCAGGAAGTCAAAGCTGCAGTGAACTGTGATTGCAGCACTGCACTCCAGCCTGGACAAAAGAGCAAGACCTTGTCTCAAAAAATAACAATAAAATAAAATAAAGGCAATAACGAACGCTGGTGAGGTAGTGGAGAAAAGGGAACCCTTGTATACTGTTGGTGGCAATGTAAATTAGAACTACTACAATGGGTTTCTCAAAAAGCCAAAAATAGAGCTACCATATGACCAGCAATCCTACTGTTAGTGTATACCTAAAAGAAAGGAAACAAGTATGTTAAGAGATAATCTGCACACCCATGTTTATTGCAGCACTATTTCCAATAGCCAAGATTTGAAAGGAACCTTAGTGTCCATCAATGGATGAATGGATAATGAAAACGTGGTGTTTACTTACACAATGGAATATATTCAGTCACAAAAAAAAGAATGAGATCCCATCATTTGCAACAACATGAATGGAACTCGAGGTCATTACGTTAAGTAAAATAAGCAGGGCAGAGAAATACAAACTTAGCATGTTCTCACTTACTTGTGGGAGCTAAAAATAAAAACAACTAAACTCATAGAGATAGAGAATAAAAGGATGGCAACCAGAGGCTGGGAAGGGTAGTGAGGAACTGGAACAGAAGTGGAGATGGTTAATGGTACCAAAACCAAAAAAGTTAGAAAGAATGAATAAGGCTGGGCACAGAGGCTCACACCTGTAATCCCAGCACTTTGGGAGGCCGAGGCCAGCGGATCATTTGACGTAAGGAGTTCGAGACCAGCCTGGTCAACATGGCGAAACCCCATCTCTATTAAAAATACAAAAATTAGGGCCAGGCGCCATGGTTCATGCCAGTAATCCCAGCACTTTGGGAGGCCGAGGTGGGCAGATCACACGGTCAGGAGTTTGAGACCAGCCTAGCCAACATGGTGAAACTTTGTCTCTACTAAAATACTAAAAATACAAAAGTTAGCCGGGCGTGGTGACATACACCTGTAATCCCAGCTACTCGGGAGGCTGAGGCAAGAGAATCGCTCGAAACTGGAAGGCGGAGGTTGCAGTGAGCTGAGATTGTGCCGCTGCACTCCAGCCTGGGTGACAGAGTGAAATTCCATCTCAAAAAAAAAAAAAAAGAATGAATAAGACCTAGAATTTGATAGCACAGTAGGGTGGCTACAGTCAATAATAATTTAATTGTACTTTTTAAAATAACTGAGTATAATGTGATTTGTTGTAATACAAAATATAAATGCTTGTGGTGATTGATACCCCATTTACCCTGATGTGATTATTACACATTGCATGACTGTATCAAAATACCTCATGTACCCCATAAATATATGTACCTATTAGGTACTCACGATTTTTTTTTAACTACAAAGAAATTTAGAATGTAAAGTGCTTGAATTGGTGTAATGGATTGTTCTCTTTTTTTTCTTTTTGCCTAGTCTCTATTTTCAAAATATAATTTAGTGCAGTTATATTACTTTTATATGGAGAAAACCTTACCAATGAAAAACTACTATCACTTTAACAATCTTGCTATGAAAAGGGCAAATTTTAATTCACATGTTCTAAGTTCAGGATCCTCATTTTACAAGCAAGAGGTCTCTAACAGCTGATCAATTAAAAGAATAGCCCAAGACCTTGCATTTTATAAAGGGAATATTCCAAGGTTCTTAACCACCAAACAAGGGCTCTTTCTTCCTAACAGTAGTCTCCAAACTCCTTTGATCATGTTCCCCTAACTGCAAAAAATTAAAAAATTATGTGAGATCACACTGCTAACAGATGAGTATTTATTGGTAATATTCTTTTTTTTCTTTTTGTTTTTTGAGACGGAGTCTCGATCTGTCGCCCAGGCTGGAGTGCAATGGTGCGATCTCAGCTCACTGCAACCTCCGCCTCCCAGGTTCGTGTATTGGTATATACTTTATCAGCTAATATCTTATGTACCTCATATACAAAACTTTAAAAACACAAATATTAAATCATATGTACAAAAATTTTTGCTACATTTTCCCCCAAGCTGCAACTGAAGTCCTGGGCACTCCCACCCCATGGTGCTTACTCTCCATACTAGAGCATGGTGTAGTGGAAAGAAAGTGTCCCTGAGGGTTGAAAGGACTTTTGTTTGAAACTTAGCTCTCCCACACAGTAGCACTAGATACCTTAAGATAATTATTTCCTGCTCAAAGCCAATGGCTCCATCTGTAAAATAGTAAAAAATAATATCTATCTCACACAGTTGTATGAATAAGGTGTATCTTTTGTAGAAAAATCATGCAACAAAGCCTGATACTGTTACAATGTCACTGACTGTCATCAGTTTTGACTGTTCCTTCAATGCTGTGTTCTTTCTTCCGTGTTTGTTTCATTTCCTTTTGACACTCTGTCCAATCCACTATTTCAAACCTTCTCTACTCTCCCAACCCTTAATTAACCCACTTACCTCTTCATTGTTAGCCAGTGATGTCATATATAATGTTAGAGAGAAGTCAGAAGTCACTTCAACTTCCTGCCAAAGCCATAAAAATAAACCTGCCTCTGTATGCATAACTTCTTCCCCACTTTCAGTCACTTAAAAAATATCTCCTGAGTACCTTCTGCAGGTCAGACACTGCTTTAGGCCCCGGTGATGAAGCAGTGAACAAAGATAAATTTCACGCCCTCGTGGAACTTACATTCTAGTGATGGTGTATTTTTAAAAGTATTCAACAAATAAATATGGAGCGTGTTGCATGATGGTAAATGGTATGGAGAAAAATCCAGGAAGGTAAGGTGCAGGGAATGCCGGGGGTTGGGGGGTTGCTATTCTATGCTGAGTCATCACAGATAGCCTCAATGATAAGGTATCATTTGTAAAAAGATATCCAAAAAGTGAGAGATTTGCCTTGTCTTTTGAAAGGATTACTTTGGCTACTGTGTTGCAAATACACAAGAGGAGGCCAAAAAACAAAAACAAAAACAAAAACCTGTTAAGAGGCTACTGCAAATGTATAAACGAGAGAGGACGGTGGCTTGGACCAGGGTGGGAGCAGGGAGTAGTGCGGGACATGAGTTCACACTGTGGCCATACCCTGAGGGTGACGGTATAGAATTTTCTGATTGACTAGATGTGGCGTCTGAGAGAAAAAACATAGCCAAGGATGACACCAGTGTTTCAGGCCTGAACAGAAGAGTGAAATCGTCATTACTGAGATAAGAAAACTTTAGGACTAGGAGCACTGGGGAATTAAACGAGAAATGAGAAGTTTGTTTTCAGTTTTGTTGACCCTGAAATTTCTATTAGATGTCAAAATAGGTAGCTGGAAATGTGTCAGGTGTTTATTAGCAAGCACCGGGCTAATATATTAATCTGAGAGCTGCAGTACTGGGGTGACACAGTAAGTCAGAGAAATAAACGAAATCTACAAGGGAATAAATGCAGGTATATAAGAAAAGAGGTCCAGGGATTAAGCTCTGGAACACTCCCATGCTTTGGCAGTCTAGGAGCTGAAGAGGAACCAGCAAAGGAGACCAAGAAGGAGCTGCCAGTAGGAATGGAAAAAAAATGTATTATTTCAGTGAGAAAGGGGTAAGAATATTTTGGAAAGGAAATAATGCCATGTTGTACACAGGAAACTATGTGCAGTTAAGAACTACTAGAGTATAAAGTGGAAAGTCAGAAACTGAGATAAGAGCTGCTATTGCTAAGCAGGAGAGACTGAGCTTTCCCCTGTGGGATCTGTGGAATCGCAATAGACACAAGCAGTAAAGGGAAGGCGGTACATCAGTTTTCAGGTGGACCACTCCAGCTTCAGGGTATTGGATGAAGTTATGCAGGGTTCTGGTGAGGAAAGGTAGGCAAGGCTGTAAACAGAAAACCTTAAGATAGTTTTCCAGTATAACCAGACAAACATGGCCAAAAGTAGATGACAGGCCATCAGGCACACAACTAAAATGAGAGAAACATAATTATCATTATAATATGCAAATACAGACTAAAATTACGGTATTCACAAACGATCTGCTTGTTTTAAAATAACCAAATTACCAGGGGAAGAATACAATGTCTCAGACAAGGGAGAGGATGAAGACCCAGAATTAGAGCAGTGATAAACTGACCATTAACTGACACAAGCAAGAGATGAGTCACAGTCTGGGGAAGGAGAAGGTGATGACTCCTGTTTTTGATGTTTTGTATTTGAGGTGTCAGTGGAATTATTAAGAAGCTATGCTTGGCAGGGGGATACATAAGTTTGAAATTTAAGGGGGAGTCTAGAACTCAAAATGATTTGGGAGTTATCAGTAGGGAAGTTGTATGTAAACTACCAGAGTGGATGAGATTACCTATGATAGAAGTCAGTATTTTTTTTCCAACCTACTACTAAGGACAGGACGAAGGTAAGAGAGATGATGGAAAAGAAGCAAATACGGTAGGAGGAAAGAAAAAAAACAGACTGGGAAAGAAAAAGAAGTGGAGAATAGAAGAAAAACAGGCGATAGATAGAGCATTATAAGCCAGGCATATCATTAATTCTGTGCAAATATCTGTGGTTTTTATTATCCTCTCCTAAACCAAATAGCATATTTATTGGCTTTTTTTGACCAAAGTTTCACTTCAAACTGATTACTTCAGGAAACTGTCTACAGTGATGCTTTTTTTTTTTTCTTCTTTTTACCTTGGCTTACTAAAACTACACCGATACCACCGTTAGCAAAGTATATTTTTATTCAACAATGTACTGGGCTATCTGCCAAGGATACAAAAAATTAGTGAGACACAATTCTTTGCCCCAAGAATGTTTAGCCAGGATGAATGATCCACAGACAGACAGAATGATCTTTTCAACACGTAAATCTGATCCTTCACTCTACTTAAAACCCTCTGGAGCAGAGATTGCTAGCTGTCTCTCAGCGACCAGCTTTCTCTTCTTCTCTCATGTTTAACATGGCCATCGAGAAGAAAGTCTGCACTCCCATCTTCTGTGTGGGTAGATGTGGCCATAAAACTAACTTCTAAATGTAAGCGGAAATGACATCAGGAACGTCTAGAAAGTGTTCTTGAAGAGAAGGACATTTACTTCTCCTCTTTCCTACTTTCTTTAGTCTGCTGGCTGCAATGTAGATGTGATGGTTGGAACTGCAGCGTCCGTCTTAGACCAAGAGGGGGCCTTGGAAATGGAGGCTACACGTGGCAGAGAAACAAGACAGAGGGAGTGTGGGCACCTGGAAGCTGTGGACTAGATACGGACTTTTTCAATGCAGAGAAGACTAACTAAGCCATTATTTTGTTGTTATTGTTGTTTCTGGTGGCTAAGAACCAACTAATACACCTTTAATACGATAATTATCACAGAATTATGTCTACCTTCCAGCTCTATTTTATTATCTATCTTTGTCTACCTATCCATCCATCCTGATGTATGACTGTAAAGCGGAAATGGAATTCATAACAGATTTAATACAGAGAATGCAGTGCTCATCGGGTGAAAAATAGTATTTCCAAGTGAAAATTCAAGTATTTATTAAGACATATTAATTTTTTAATCTAAAAAGTCACTACACTCAATAAGTTTGCAACATTAAAAATAAAACTCATTCTTCAATAATACATCAGTATTATTGATTTCTATCTTTAGAATAATTTTGTTAATATTTTAACTTACTTCTTTTGAAGGATTCATTGGTAATGTAAAGATAGTTTTCCAGTATGACCAGACAAACATTCCAAAAAGTAGATGATAGGCCATCAGGCACACAACTAAAATGAGAGAAACATAATTATCATTATAATATGCAAATACAGACTAAAATTGTGGTATTCACAAAAGATCTGCTTGTTTTAAAATAACCAAATTACCAATTATAATAAATTATGAAAGTTCCTTTACTTCATACTAGAATAAACACAACTCAACGATTTCCAAAGCCAAGAGTTTTTTAAAAAAATTCCTAAATGCATAATGAGATCTATGCCCATGAATAAAAGCCTCCCATCTGTAGACAGACCATCTATTGGCAAAATCACTGACAAGGACCTTTTCTAAATTGTAAAAATAAGGCAGTTACGCCTGCAACTTTAATTAGCAAACACTGCATTAAAAACAAGTGTTAAAGCACTCAGGCTTTAAGAACTTTGCTTTAATGACATAGATAACAAAGGCAGTTCCTACTTGAGAAGCTGTTTGCTTATTTCCTTGGCTCTAGTCAAAGCTGGTGTAATGATAACATATTGAAACGGAGAACCTCTGGATAAGTGGGAGTTCAAGTGTCTTATTTATCACACGGGACAATTGTTTTGAAAAAGTGTTCTGAATACTTTTTTCAGTAATGCATATAAACACATTCTGGGTGGTGTTAGAAAGTCTTCAAATACTATGCAAAATTTTCTTTTCTTTTCTGTCCTTTTTTTTTTGAGACAGGGTCTCACTCTGTCACCCAGGCTGGAGAGCACCCTGGGGCTCAAGAAATCCTCCTACCTCAGCCTCCTGAGTGGCTGGAATTACAGGTATGCTCCATCACACCTGGCTACTTTTTGTATTTTTCTTTTTTTTTTTTTTTAAAGTAGCGACAGGGGTTTACCATGTTGGCCAGGCTGGTCTTGAACTCCTGACCTCAAATGATCTGCCCGCTTTGGCCTCTCAAAGTGTTGACATTACAGGTGTGAGCCACTGTGACCAGCCCAAATTTTAAATATTAATTTTGTATATGGTGATAATGATTCCTTCTGGGTAATACATTAATACACAATTCTGTAAGATATCATTGAACAAAATATGTGAATTTAAATATAGCATATTTGGCATTTTAAAACTTTAATAGCAATTTTTAATTTTTCTAAAGAATGATACTTACAGAATCATTAAAAATTTGAATTATTCAATAAGGCACTTAAATCAGTGTGAGATGACTAAAGCCCATGATATTTTTCATAAATTATGTAGGTGACTCAGTTACAAGTTAATAGTCCAAATTAGGAAAGGAAATTGTTGATATCCCTATACCTCAAAGCCTTAAGAATCTCTGGCACAATGACAGCCATTTCAGGACAGAATTTGCCAAGTGTCTGACAGAATTCAATCTGCAAACTTAAGAGAAATGAGATATCTTTAACTCTAGCTTGTCTTCACATTCTCAAAGAATAATTTATTAATCCCAACCAAAACTAAGTGAATACAATTGTTTCTTTCAAATTATTTAAAAAATCTATAACATTAATGTCATCTAGCTTACCTTGTTCACCAGTGTTTTCCATGGACACTGGAAACAGAAAAAAAGGTAATAGGTTATACGAAGCTTATGGCAAACAGGGCTTGACACAGACATAAGGCATTTAACTAGCTTAATAATTTGGCTTCCCTTCAAACCAACATTCTCTAAACATTTACTCAATTTTATTTGGAGGAGAGGTGAGCACAGATTGGAGAGAGGGTGGAGGAAAAGGCTGGAGGCTGCAATCAGCCATGCCTCCATTGCACACTTCAGCCCTGGCTCCTGTGCTGCGGAACAAAACTTGTCAAGTGTGCCCCTTGGGGGTCTTTCTTCTGTATCATTTGGTTGATTGGTTTTCCTTCCAACTATAGAGTTCAGATAAAAGCAGTGCTCTCCAGGTCATTACATTTCCACAGGCATTTATTGCCCTTGATACATTGGCAACCACCTGGTGAGCTTTCCACAAAGAATAAAATGTTGTGTCCGCAGCAGATACTCTTTCTCCCCCTCTAGTTTCTAAAAGTACAAACGCTTATGCACAGTGATTTTACGTGCTCCCTATTGCACAATGAGAGAGAGGCCAGGCAGTGCTGGGAAACTGCCGTTCCTCAGGGGTTGTTGTAAATATTCCAAGCTAGCAGGTATTATGGATTAAGACAGGGGCCACAAGTGCTAAAGCAAGCTGCAACAAGAAGCTGTATTTAGTAATCGAGACATTTGTATGCCTTTTGTATTGTCTATGTGTTTTCCCATTTGGTCTCTCTCTTTGTACAAGAGTCTTTGGAAGTTTTGCCCTATCTCAGCTGTACCAAGTCTGACTCTGTATATTTTTGTCCTTATTCAGCTTTCAAAATGGCACAGGATCTCAGGACTTGGTGCTGGAATGAAATGCCACCGCCTTCTGAAGTCTGGAACCAGAGGGTAGTGTGAGAAGTTTTGAAGATTGCACAGTCCAACCAATCTCCTGCCCAAGACAGCTATTGAATATAAGTTCAGGCATTTCTAGAGCTAGCAGGAGCCTGTAGTTTTTTGGAGGGCAGCCCGTTCCATTATTGGATTGCCCTAAGAATAAGAAAATTCATCCTTCCAGTGTGTCAAAATTTGCTGCTTTGTGACTTTTTCCTGTGATATCAAGGCTTCCAAACCATAGCAATAAACAGAAAATCTAAATGACAAATCTTCACATACTTGACGTTATTGTGTCCCCCTTAAACATTCTAGTTTAAACCAACTAATATATGGTTTCCAGATCTCTTACCAACCTAGATGTGGCATCTGTAAATGCTTCCTAGCTTCTCCACTCCCTTTAACATTTCTGATCTCCAGAATGAGACAGGCAGGCGTGGATGATCTTCGACTCACAAATGGCCTGTTCTACAAGTCCGCTTGTAAATCAGAGGCTAGTCAGAGTTTGCTTTCCCATCGAATCCCTGAAGCGGCTCAGCTGAGGGCACAGGAAAGGCTTGAGGCAAGCCTGTTTTTTAATATCTGAACCTACCGCCACAGCTATGCATTTCCCTCTAGACACGGACTACCCTGTTTTCAAAAGCGCTCCAAAATTGACAACTCTTTTCTGGATCAAAATTTCCAATCCTTCAGGGGAGCTAATCCAAGGAAAGGAAAAGCAATTTGACTCCATTTGTGCATTTATATACAAATAACCCTTATTAACCATTCCAGAGGTGCTGGTGCTTTCATAAAAATGTGTTTGCTACTCCACTGACTCGAGTTGAGAGAACTGATAACTGTAAAACAAAATGACATTTTAAAAAAGGTATAGTTGGGGGCTGCGCACAGTGGGTCCCACCTGTAATCCCAGCATTTTGGGAGGCCAAGGCCAGCACATGGATCACCTGAGGTCAAGAGTTTGAGACCAGCCTGGCCAACATGGCAAAAACCCCATCTCTACTAGAAATACAAAAAATTAGTTGGGTGTGGTGACATGCACCTGTAATCCCAGCTACTCAGAGGCTGAGGCAGGAGAATCGCTTGAACCTGGGAGGCGAAGGTTGCAGTGAGCCAACATTGTGCCACTGCACTCCAGTCTGGGTGACAGAGCGAGACTCCGTCTCGGAAAAAAACAGAAGAAAAGGTGTAGTTGGTATGAGTTGCTAATCTTTTTGACCTGGACCAATACTTTATTAGCTTGATATGCATTCAAAGACTTTGTTTTTAAAGTTTTTTTTTTTTTTTTTTTTTTTTTGCCATTCACAGCTTGCTTTTCCCTAAATGTAATTCAAAATCCACAGAAGTTCTATTTTTAAAAAAGTACACAACTTATACATAAATACATGCTTATAGTAAATAATTCTGTAACATTTGTAGAATGGAATGGAACAGTTCAAAAGGCTGTATCCAATTACACTTTCGCCAAGATTATGAGCCTGTTCAATTTCCTGTAAACATAAGCCTGCTTGATATTTGTCAACATCACAGGCCAAAAGAAAAACCATTATTTTAGCGTTCATTACCATTATTATTAGTGCAGTTTGGCATTATTTTTAAAATATGATGACTGGGATTTCCTTTCTCTTCTAAGTGAATGATTATTTTTCTGTTGGCTTACTTAGTTATTGAGAGCCTTTTATGTATTCTGGACAGAAATCTCTTATCTGTTACATATACTACAAATAAAGTTGCATATAGCTATTTTAAATGATTTAATAAGTACTAGCAACATTTTTATCACTTGCCACTGATTAAGTAACATTATCAAAGTTTGCAAATTAACTTATTTCATTAACAGATATATGGACTATACAAGGTTTTGCTTTGTGATACTCAGGAAATGAATGTTCTCTCAACCATGTTTACTTAGTCAGTGAATTAGTGATTTACCTTGTAATTTTCAGTTTAATGGCAGAGTTGTCAAGTTCAAAGTTTCCTTTCTCACAGTGTAAAAACACATACAAAGTTACTGTCAAATGCAAATATTTTTGTTCAAAAGTTATTGTTTAAGAAAAGATTGCTCAAATTTAGCCTCACTTTTCTAATACATATGTATATAAAGATAATATATGAAAAATAGAGACTCATTTTTGACACAATATAGATAGTAATCAAATATAATACATTTATTTATAACAATACAAAAACTAAATAGCAATACTGAACATAATTGGGATAGGTCTTCTAAAAATAACTATTGGTTTTTATGTGGATTTTGAGTTTTAATTCAGGATTATTTAATTTTCTTACTTCACAGACAGAATTTCAGTTTGGTTAACAGTGATGCTGATATTTATTCTCCAATTTTACCATGCAGAAATTTCAAGTGTTGCATAGCCTTCTTTATCCTATTTCCTTTAAATCACATATTGAGATAAATTAATAGTTATTTCAATTTTAGTCAACAGAAAAGTGAGGTTTACTCAGTTTTTACTAAAGCAAATGAGCTTTATTCTCAAAGTCACAATGAGTAGTACATTAATTCTACCTTAGAAATTCTTTTATTTTCAATTTAAACATTTCCTGCATGTCACAAATATGTTACAACTTCGAGCTCTGCTGGATCATATTAAAATTAATTCCTCTTTGAAGCACACAGCATCTGCCCCATAAATGTGAGTAAGAGACTGACTTAGACAAACAGACCATGACAACTAATCTGAATCACATAAAAGTGGTATATCAAAGCGGACATATGAAAAGTTTTCATTTTTTTTTTTTTTCGTGGGCATGAGAAACTCAAGAGAAAAGTTATTTCTATTACCATGTAGCTTAGCACACTGTAGGACTCAACTCACAGTTGACAAAAGCGAAAGTAATCTCTTCCATGAGGTGAAGAAAACGCCTCTCTAAAGAGACAGAGAGGGAGAAGACAAAATAGTTCCTGTCCCTTTTAAAAGGAAAAGGTTGAGGGAGATACTCGCTTCAACTGGGCTTCAAGTAACTTTGAAAACAGAAAGGGTCTGTAACTTTACAGGGTTCCCTCCACCCCCACCTTGGTTTTGGTTCTTCCTCAGTACTGTACTTTTTTATAGTTGAATTTGTCAAAATGGAAAAGAGACTATTACTAAGCTAATAGCACCAAAGAGCAACGGCTCGGGATAAAGAAGGCAAGGTCCAACCCTGCCTCTGCCACTTGCTTGCTCACACAAGCTATCCCACTTACTCCACTACAAAAGGAGGGTGATCGCCGCAGCAACAGCATTAGGGCTGCAGTGAGGATTCAAAGGGAAAATAAAAGAATGTACTTAACATAGTGCCTGGTGTATAGTAAGCCCCCATGAATGTACAATTATAATATATAATCTTTCATTTCGATAATATTAATGGTAATTATAACATATAGGAAAGGGGGCTAAAAAATGAAGAAAAATTACAAAGAGAAAAGTAATATTTGTACAGCCTCCTGAAATAAATGCAAAATGTTGAATAAAAATAGACTTTGTGAGTGAACATAAGAGGTGAAAAATAATGTAAATCTGAATCATCTTATAAGTCAATTGCCTTTTTATACGGATGTGTCATTTCAGAAACTTGTTTAAACCAAAAAGGTGGTATTCATTCTTAACAAAGAGTAATGATGAGACATTAAAACTTCGATCTTCATGTGCCAGTTAGTCCTTTTGAGAACTTAAATGTGAAAGAATCTATTTTGGATAGGCACTGTTGAACTTAACGAATAAAAACAATTACTTTAAAAAAAAATAAAAATAAAAACCTAAATCTTATATTCACCCCAAAGAAGTCAGGTGCAGTTTATTTCTGGGAATTAAGAGCATTGCTATTATTACACTAAAATATTTACCAATCCTACATCTGTGGATAGTATCATTCACATCATCTAAATACACACAATCATAACACTGTGAATCACAATTTTAATTTTAATTTCAAACACTTATTTGCCTGATTTTATCTTGGATTAGCCTAATTTCTTTTTGGTCCATGTCCTACAATGATAATATTTTGCTTTAGCAATTTCTAATCTTCTAATATACCTCCAGAACTTCAAGCTCCTCTGTGATTGTGGGAATTGCAGCACTTTCTTGGCCCTGATGGTATACAGGAAGAGAGAAAGTGAAAAAGGTAAATTACCACTG